AAGCATATCTTGCAAAATGTTTTGCATTGTAGGTAGGCTGAGGATTCTGACTGCCTGTACAGACAGACCACCAATGTGCTTTTCAGTACAGCCTCTGGTCGTACTCCATTTCTATGAAACAAAGTCATGATTCATGACTTTGAAACAACTGTTCATTTACAAACTCGTGCTTGCGTAGTTGTTTACCACAAGTTTAGTGAAATTATTTTTGTGGTGTAAATGAGACGAATTGCATAAAAGCAGCTATTGCAGTGCTATTAGAGTACTCAATGAACTCTTGAATTTTACTGAGAAAACCTATAGAATACATTTATTTCATGTTTTTTTAAAAGAAAACTTATTTGAATGATCAAATGGCACAATACCAAATTTGCATGTCAGTGAGAGGAGATGGGGAAAATGGGAAAGGAGAGTACACAAAGTGCACTTCACATTAGGGTAACTTCTTCAAGTCCTGTACAAAGACTGGGAGATGCCAAACAAGTGGCCATAGGCGTGTTTGAAGTGGTAAGTTTTAAGGTGGTATTTAAGAAGGATAGGAAGGGGGGTTTGGAGGTTAGGGATGTTGAATCTGAAGGCTCAGCCACCGCTGGTGGCACAGAGGGGTCAGTCAGCAAACCGAGCTGAACAACAAAGGGCGAGCAGAGGAATGGGATAGGAGAACATTAGAGAGATAAAACTAGGGCTTGAAAGGATTTATAAGTGAACTATTTGTGGGGCCTTGAAATGCAGCAAACTGGCTGCATTACCCATGAATACCATTACTATACTTGATTGCAATTACTGGTAAAGGTCTTTCATTGCTTATGAAAATGTACTGCTCTCATTGCACCTTCTTAGCCATCAGCCTGTGATAATTTTTCATATTCATATTTCCCCAAATAAAAGTTAAGGATTTCAGTTGTTGTAGATACATATCTTAGTTAACCGTATGTCTTCATCCCACAAACAAACTCATTGTAAATACTCTATACTTGCATTCCTACAGGGGATAGAGCCATAGACATTTACAGTACAGTAGAAGGCCAATCAACCCATCATATCAGTGCTCATTTAATGAGCAATCCTTTTAAGAACAATGGAATGAAACTATAGCCTAGTGTGGCAATTTAAAAGCATACAGAATGAGAAGGGTGTTGCAACCAGGTTAGCTGGAGCGATAGCTAAAAGTTAGCTAGAGAAACAACTTACATTTATATAGTGCCCTTCACACTGGTAGCCTCTCGGAGTGCTTAACAGTGATGCTTTGTCGCAGATTTGGAAAGGAAGGGGAGGTGACCGAAGACATGGTCAAAGAGGAAAGGTCTACAGGTGTGACTGGAAAATGGGCAAGGCTGATGGAGGGATGGCAAGAAGGAGGGATTGAGGCATAGTGGCTTAAAAGCACAGCTATCAATTGTGGAGCAGAGGGGACGGAACATAGGAACAGGAGTAGGCCATTCAGCCCTTCGAGCCTGTTCCGCCATTTAATTCAATATTGGCTGATCTGTACTTCAACTAATCCAAGGGGAAAAAATACAGTATATGAAGGATGTGCAGAAGACCGGAGCCAGCTGAGTGAAGGTGTCGGGTAGAGGAGTGAGATGTGGAGAAGTAGGGAGGTGCCAGGCTGTGAAGAGATTTGAAATCGATCCGATCTGCAAAAGGATAGAGCTGGTTGGGAGGATTCCTGGTTGGGAGGACTCCTGGTTGGGAGGACTCCTGGTTGGAGTCCATACATGTGTGATGAGCTTACTTAAGTCACGGTAGGAGATCCCTGAAAATAAGATATGCCCTTAATGCACCCTCATGCAAGACCTTTCTGATGAGGTATAGATCATGTCACTACGTTGATCGGTTAGACAAACATTTTGTCTTTACCGGTATATATGTATCTCTCTAGAAGGGTGTGTGACCTCTATCACTACTTTGTTGCAGTATACCATGCCTACTTTTTGGGGGCTTAATTAAAGCATTTTTTAACATTTTTTAATATAGCTCATCAACGATAGGAGATTCCTGAAAAAAATATGCCCATGACGTTCCCTCATGCAAGACCTTTTCAATGAGGTATAATTCATGTCTCTACGTCAATTGGTTATTGCGTTCTTGGCAGACAGACACACATTTCGTCTTTATTGATATAGAATTTTCTCATTACGCAAGTCCATTGCTTGTCGCTCACAGGTTTCTTATAAACGTAATGGTTTGCATTTTCTTTTATTATTTATGACCTTATTCATTCTGTAGAATTTTAAAAAGTGGCTAGCAACATGTAGATGCAACGGCTCCATCCGTAAACAAGCTTGAAATGTCCAGTCATTCATTATAAAATAAATAAGGAGCTTGAGGTCGTCAGCATCTGATTGTATACCACACCTTTTATATATTCCTACCATATACCATTCAATATCTAGCTTACATTATGTCCTTATATCTTTTTAGTTTCTGTGTGCATATACAATGGATGAAACGGATGATAATGACTTTAATGAATTAATTACATTCCATCACACTTCTTTTCAAATGCTGGTCTGCGTTAACTACATGTTGAACAAACAGCAGGAGAGAATTTCATGTTAGCAATAGCTAAAGCGGCTGTCAGCTCAGAAAGTCAAACTGCTCAGTGCATGTACTGGAGGTGTGGGTGGGCGGAAAAGATTGGGTTGCTAGCTCATGACAATTTGCAGTGTAAACTGAAGTGATTCTTTAGAGCGGAAACCCACAACCCACTCTTGCTTTTCCCCCTCGCTTCCCCCCCCTCCCCCCATCTCCTGCACATGGGCACATCCTCTCAGCCGTTTGACTTTCTGAGCTGCCAGTGCAGCAGCCACATTAACAGTTGCTAGGGCGCAGCAGCTTATTTGTAGCTATTAGGTGATTGTATAAGCAATCTTTACTAGCCACATGAGTTTTGTGTGTTCTTTCTCTCTTGCAGAATTTTTTCCACAGTCGCACTCGTGCATAAAATATTTGCACAGTCTACAACGCTTTTCATGCACGGCCCTAGAATTTGGGATTTCTGGAGTCTCGAAATATAAATATATCATTAACTGGTGGAAAATACTGGAGACTCTTTATGTAGTATTTGCTTTGAATTCCATATTGCTACGTTCAGTCCCAGCTAATTGAAAATACATTTTTATATATCAAAAGTCTGAATTTGCTGGAATGCAATCTCCATGAGTATTATTTCTATGATAGTTCTCTAGAAGTGGTCAGAACACTATTCCAACTCTTCAATGAAAATCTAATGTACTTGGAGGGCAACGTACTTAACATTGAAACAAAGATAAAGTGATTAATGTACTCTAAGAATGTTAATATTAAAGAGCCAGTAGGTTTACAATAGATTCTTCAATTCTAAACTGGATTTGATGTTGATAATATACTTGATCATTCTGCAAACTGGCGTAATCGCCACACTAATTCTGATATAACCTTGTGTGCTCCTTCCAAAGGGGTGTTTTCTTGTTTTGTAATCGTCTACAACACTAAAAAGTGAAATTAAACTGAGAAGTGGTGGCTTGATGATTTTATTTTAAATTGACTTCCTTTGCAGGGCGTGTTCTGTCTCTTCACAATGTTCTTAGCATGTTCTTGGTAAAAATAGCAGGGACATGCTGCACCACGTATTTCATTTACATCTGTCTAATGGGGCATTAACATAAGTTAAATATAAGTTATCAAGAAACATAAAATGTCCAGGAGAGGAAGAAGTAGTTCTTAATTAATTCCCAATGATAGCAAGTACGGTATGTTTTGGTCTGAAGATTAGTGAGGTTTTATATTTTAAATCTTTACATGCTTAAGTTTGACTGGTACGAAATTAGGTGCAAGCAACCTTAATTTTTGCATTCTAAAATGCTAGTTATGAATGAGTGCATTAGGAACGCTATTAATTCAATTTATTAAAATCTTTACATTTGATATATGGCCTAAAGAACAATCCCTCAACGCAGTCCACAGGTAATTGCTCTCAATTGTAGGCACAGTATTTTTAGGCAAGTTTGGTGCACACATTTTCACATCTACTGCTCAGAAATAAATGGTAAATGATAATCAATTATCAGCAGTTGAGGAACTGTGCAAGTTTTTCAACTTCAATGTGATGACTATCACCGGCAGTAATCATGCCAGGACAGAACATGTGAACATTAAATGACAGTTCACACATCAGAGAGTTAGTTAATCTGCTCTTGGCTCAGATCAGTCAAAAGTGATTAGGAACGAACAATTATTATTAAGTATTCATTTTACAATGTAGCTGCTTGAATGGCTTTTAACTTTACTTTTCTTTAAAATTTATTTTCTTTGCATGATCCAGTAAAGAATACCAACACTCGTTGTCTCCCTGACCGAGAAATAAGATTTTGTGTTGATCGGATCTGAAACAACAACAACAAGATTCCATTTATAGAACGCCTTTCACGTCGGGAGGACGTCCCAAGGCGCTGTACAGTTGGGTCAGGAGCCGAGCATTGGGGGGAAATGGTCAGGGTGAGGAGAGGGAAAGGAGGGAGCGAGGAGGGGGTAGAGAGTCGAGAGGGGAGCTGAAGGCACGGTCAAAGAGAAAGGTCTTGAGACCGGCCTTGAAGGAGGAAAGGGAGGAGGCGGCGAAGGCACTGGGGGATAGAGTTCCAGAGCCTCGGGGCTGAGAGGTTGAAGGCCCGGCCACTGATGGTAGGGCGGTTGGGGCGGGGGATGTGGAGCAGACCGGAGCCAGAGGAACGGAGGGTACGGGCAGGTAAGTAGGGGGATACTAGGTCAGAGAGGTAGGAGGGAGCGAGGCCGTGAATGGCCTTGTAGGTGAAGATGAGGAGAAACCTCTAACCTAGATGGCTTAATCAGCAGAACATAGTTCTAGCTGAAGGTTACTTTGCTGTTCTAAGGCAGATTATGATTAAGAAAAATAAGAAAAAAGTTAAAAGCAGCTATATTGAAAATACAAAATCATCTCATTCCAACCTCCTACTACACCATGAACAATAGTTTAATCTATTTCTTTAATTTGACTTTAGGCCTCAGAAGAAGTGTCGAAATGCTTGCTGTCCATGAAGGAGATCCTATGTGGCACCAATGATAAAGAACCTCAGACTGAAACTGTTGCTCAGTTGGCTCAAGAGTTGTACAACAGTGGATTGCTGATCTCTCTGATTGCAAACTTGCAACTGATAGATTTTGAGGTGAGTGAAACCCACAACACTACAATTGATCAACACATCAGGCATATGAAAATAAGTGTAGTCTCCAAACAGATTGCTAAATTTAAAGATAAATTTGTTTCATTGACATTTATTTAAAGCAGATTGATGTAACTGTGTATTGAGGGATGGACATGAATCAGCAGCTGGCTGAAGGGAAGGAAGCAAAGAGTTGTAATTAAGTGCGTTAATTTGAAACAGGGTCTGTTTTGGAATTCCTTCTATTTCTTGTAACATTAATGTCCCAGATTTGCAGACTTGATATAAGGTAATTAAATTTTCAAATGACACCAAGTCAGTGCTTGCTGTCCATGAAAGAGATCCTTTGTGGAACTGTGGATTCAAAGGAGGCAGGAAAAATCTTACAATCTTACAAAGACAGCTTGGTAGGGTGTGCTCACTGAAAAGTGAAATTAAATGCATATAAGTAAAAAGTACTGTATAGAAATTAAACATAGTTGCATTCCATAGAAAGAATAGAAATCGCCCTGGGAAAGCAGAAAAAACAAGCGGTTCGTTGACTCATTGCTTATCTTATCGAGCAATAAGCAAAGGATGCTGGGCTATATCGCCAAATCATTTGAGTTCAAATCCCAGAAGTTCTGCTTAAATTCTGCAGTGCTCTGGTTAGGCTGAAGCATTTCTTGACACTTGGTGCGCTTATTTTCTGTCGTTTGACTTGTATCAATGCACATTTCATGAAACAGGGGAAGAAGGACGTCACACAGATCTTTAACAATATTTTGCGACGACAGATTGGCACTCGTACTCCAACAGTAGAATATATATGTTCTCATGAGCAAATATTGTTTATGCTGCTGAAGGGGTAAGTATTATTCATCACTTATCTTTATAATAAAGTAGTACATTTTTTTAAAGTTGATTTCTGGGATAAACAATACATACCTGATATTTTTTAAGATGGAGTTGCTAATTGCAGTACATTTATCCAATGACTAGTTCATTTATGTTCAAGTACAAGTGCTCTAGTGGTACAGGTGAAGAGGAAAGGCTCTATTCATCAAAATGTTAAAAATTGCAACATTATGTGAAGCACAAATCTTTTTAACAATCAAATGCATTACAAACTGATTTGTTTTTGTAATAAATAGGCCCCCCGCCCCACTCATTTTCTCACTTCAAATTTTCTTTACCCTCCCTAATCCCATTGTTCATTTGGGGGTTGGAAGAAATTGTCAGAAAAGTAGGTATTTGTTGGCAAAAAAGAAAGGTATCAAGATCCAACTTTGTTACCAGTCAAAACTTAATGGCTGATATAGGTACGTCACAGATTCAGCAAAGACACTCTCCAGCATGGTTCTGTGGCAAAACTGGGAGAGACTTTTGTTATATAGCTATATTTGTTGTTGTCCCAAAGAAGACGCATTCTACACAAATAAACTTGTCCATACAGGTTAAGTGTTGAGATGTAACTCTGATACTATAGCTTTTACCATTAGGCTTTCTGTGGCCATGGTCAATAATGTGACAATGAAAATATGGAGGTACCTGACTCCCTTCAACATCTTGAATCTCTCTGTCATTTATTGCTGCAAGTTTCCTACATTCAACTAGTTGTTGATGGTGATACAGACAGCAAATTGTAATGTACAGAATACAGTACTTGGGTTTTAAGGAATGACCATGAATTCTACAAGGAACTATTGTGCTAGTTTCTTATAATCCATTGATGGCAAAAGTTAGAGAAACTGTTCAATATGGAGAACCTCAATCTTTATCCCATTGTGACTAAGAGTCAATTATTTTTGTCATTTTCTCCCACTATGGTCATATGATCGGATGTTTCGAAGACTCCATAATTTTCTCATTCAAGAATAGTTTTTCACTTTTCTCCAAGATTATTTTATAAACTATTACAACTTTATTAGTCACATAATATAAGCAGAAGGGAACACTGCTACACAGAAACCTTTTTATACTTGCAAATTTTACAGTTAATAAGAATGTACACAATCTCTGCAACATTTATCAACTCACCTTGAACAGGTTTCCCAGACTATTGTTCCTAAGTTTTAATTTAGTGTCGAGAGCGCAGATGATTTCAGTCTGTGTGCCTAGGGATATCTTCCCAACATGAAAGGTAAATTTGTATTGTTGATTGGCCTCCAAAGTGATTTTTCTTTTGCACAGGTATGAAATGCCAGAGATTGCCTTGAACTGTGGCATCATGCTGAGAGAGTGCATCAGACATGAGCCACTCGCCAAAATAATCCTTCACTCCGATCACTTTAGAGATTTCTTCAAATATGTGGAAATGTCAACGTTTGACATTGCTTCAGATGCCTTTGCTACGTTTAAGGTATATTGTCTACAATCAGCTCATTATATCTGATTGTTTTAAAAGTCCATTTGTTGTAATCTAGCATGGAGGACAGATTACCATCTCCGCACTTTTCTGTCCCATTAAATGAACATTGATTTCTTATTGTAGCAGTGGATTTCACCTTGCAGTTATGTGGAGGTAGATTTCATAATTTATTCTATAAAATGGAGTACTTTTGAAAGAGAGGCATATTCCTGTTGAATTTGGTTTATTTTTGTGGGACCTGTTTTATTTGCATGTAATGCTCTTTATATTTGGATGAATATTAAACTTCAGATTGGATGAACCGTGATATACAGTTCAAAGATTAAAGAATATTATCCAGCTGTCTTAAGTATATTATAAAGTTTACTGTAATTTTTCCTCACTTCACAATTGAAATTGTGTAAAATTTATTCCAGGATTTGCTTACTAGACACAAGGTTATGTGTGGAGAGTTTTTAGACCAGAATTATGATATGGTAAGTGAAAAAATCCTTTATCATATGGTGCCAATACATTGGGTTATTGCACATTTTGAATTTTGCAGTGACGGATTAAAAAATGTAACTGTACTTTTAAAACATTTCAGGTATTTAATGACTATGAAAAGCTGTTACATTCCGAGAACTACGTGACAAAAAGGCAGTCTTTAAAGGTAATGAATAGAAAGGAGTTTGTTTTAATTGTATATATTTTAGTCAGACAGAGAATCCTAGAATATTACAGCATAGAAACAGGCTATCAAGTCAGTCTTGGTGTTTTTCTCCACTTAGCCACTTAATTTAACCCCATTCTTCTGCTTGTTCCATGTATCCTTTGAAAATCATTTTAACCACTCTTATTTTATAAGCATATATAAAGAATAAAATGTTAGTCAAATGTAGAGTGGGGCCAATTAGGGACCAGAGAGGAAATCTTCTTATGGAGGCAGAGGGCTGATGTACTGAATGAGTACTTTGCATCTGTCTTCACAAAAGAAGAGGATGCAGCCAACGCCACAGTATTGGAGGAGAAGATAGAGAAATTGAATAGGATAAGAATAAACACGGAAGAGGTACTAAAAAGGTTGATGATGCTCAAGGTAGATAGGTCACCCGGTCCAGACAAGATGCATCCTAGGTCACTGAAGGAAGTAAGGTTGGAAATAGCGGAGGTTCTTGCCACAATCTTTCAATCCTCCTTGGACCGGGGTGATGCCAGAGGACTGAAGAGTTGTAAATGTTACTCCCCGGTACAAAAAAGGGCAGAAAGATAGACCCGGGAACTACAGGCCAGTCAGCCTATCGTCAGTAGTGGGGAAACTTCTAGAGATTATAATCCGGGACAAAATAAATTTTCACTTAGAAAAAAGGATTTGTTAAAGCCAAATCGTATCTAACAAACCTGATAGTTTTTTGATGAAGTAACAGTAATGCAGTTGATGTAGTTTGGGACGTCCTCCCGACGTGAAAGGTGCTATACAAATATAATCTTGTTGTTTATTGGATTTTCAAAAGGTGTTTGATAAAGTGCCACATAAGAGTCTTGTAAGCAAAATAGAAGTCCAGATATTAAAGGCACATTGGCAGAGTGGATACAGAACTGGTTGGGAGGCAGAGAGTGGTGGTGAATGGTTGTTTTCCTGACTGGAGGAAAGTGCGGTGGAGTCCTCCAGGGGTTGGTATTGGGACCACTGCTCTCTTTGATCTATATAAATGACCTGGGCTTGGGTATAGGAAGTATCCAAGTCTGCAGATGATACTAAGCTAGGAAAAGAAGTAACCAGTGAGGAGGATAGTAGCAGACTGCAAGAGGACATAGACAGACTGGAAAATTGGGCAGACATGTGGCAGATGAAGTATAATGTGGAGAAATGCAAAGTGATACATTTTGGGAGGAAAAAGGAGGAGGGGCAATATAAACTAGATGGTACAATCTTAAAGGAGGTGAAGGAACAAAGAGACCTGGGGATTCATATAAGTAAATCTTTGAAGGTGGCAGGACAGGTAGATAAAGCTGTTAAAAAATGCATACGGGATACTAGGCTTTATAAATAGGGGCATAGAATACAAACGTCAGGAAGTTATGATGAACCTTTATAAAACACTGGTTAGACCTCAGCTAGAGTACTGTGTAAAGTTCTGGGCAACACACTTTAGGAAGGATGTCAAGGTATTGGAGAGTGCGCAAAGGAGATTTACCAGGATGGTACCAGGAATGAGTGATGTAAGTTATGAGGAGAGGCTAGAGAAGCTAGAATTATTTTCCCTGGAGCAGAGAAGGTTAAGAGGAGTATATTGTTGTGTGTATTTTATGACATTTGTCCTGTTTCTTATCTAAGCTTATAGGAGAACTGCTGTTGGACAGACATAATTTTACAGTTATGACGAGGTACATCAGTAAACCAGAAAATCTCAAGCTAATGATGAATCTCTTAAGGGACCAAAGTAGGAACATTCAGTTTGAAGCTTTTCATGTATTTAAGGTAAGTGTTATCTAAATTAGTGATCCACTGTCCAAAAACTGGTCCAAAGCTGCATAGGTTATTTTTTGATTTGCTGATTTTTAGAAACAAATATTTGCAGCATTAGAATATTAATAAATGGTTCCTTAGATTTGACCATTCTAATCTTCCAGTCATAATTCAGTACAAATGTTATTTTCAGTATGATGGTTTTGAGGAAAATTGATGCGATTTACAAAGAACATCAACTTACACTAATTTAATTTAATGTCACACTTTCCCTATGAAACTGAGTGAAACACATTTATATTTGTTTCCAGGCCAGTTCTGTGTACAGTTATGTTTGGGATATCTTGTCAGTTTTGGTACAGCTACCTGTCTGATCCCGCCAATAGCATATACATGCCTCAAAAATTAAGCCTTGCACATATAATTTCCTATTCCACTGAATTGCATACACAGTCACTACACTTAATGAGCCCTTTGAAGCGCTTTGAGATGTTTTTAACAACATAAGATGGGTGCTATATCAAATGCAAGGATGATTATTAATTGACTGAACTACAGTAAACTTTTAATAAGCAATATATTTCAATAAATTGTGACTGGGGAAGTTTAAATTGCTAGCACTTGTATTGGTATTAGAAATGTACTGTGTACCATTTGTTTACAAAAGGCAAAATCCCTGTTCCTGCTCAGTGCTAATCAGCATATTATTACTGTTTAAATATTAGAATATAAATAAAGTATGAGTACTAATGAGTTACAAAGTAAAACATTTAACCTCAATGACCATAGCTGCATTAATTAACATGAGGCATATCTGAAATGAAACACTCACCTGTTAGCATCATATAGGAATAACAAGTCAAAATTGGCACAACCAACAACAAACCAAATCTCCATTTATTCTGCCCCAAACTGCCTGAACATCAATTCCTAAAGAGTAGTCTTCTACTGCAATATTGTGAATATTCCATTTCTGGCCTTTTTAAGTCCAGCTGATACTGATTTACAGTTTTTTTCTGGTGTAGAATTCAAGCTACAAAAGTTTACTTCTCATAGAGTTAGTATTAAGATGATGCTTTCACCCTATCATTAAAGGCAACATTTAAACACCTATTCTAAAGATAAAAGAAGTGCGCAGTGTCCATAACTATAATCTCTGATAAAGGTGAATTCTGTATGGAGGCACGCATCCTTTACTTAGAACAGAACTTCATTTATGTAGCACACTTAACATAGGATAGCATCTTGGAGCACTTAACATTGCTGTTAAGCATCTAAGCTGGGATGGGAGCCAAAGGGGGGGTGCGTGAAAGAATGATCAAAGAAGTACGTCATAGTGAGCTTTGATTGAATAGAGGAAGGGAGTGAGTTGCAGGGGCTCTGGGCTACACAAAAAAAGCAAGAGAATGCATCTGTGTATTGAGGCTAGCGTATATGTTTGTTACTTTTCACTTTATATTATTAAACATTAAGCAGCAAGAACAGAGACTTCAGTAGAGTGGGTTTTTAAACCAATGTTTCTCATTATTTAGAGATAATTTCACTTGTTTTCAAACATAACATTTGTCAGGAAGTAAACATTTCAGCTAAAATAACAATCCACACAGAATAATCTTATTGCCATGATGAAATCATAACAAATAGTCATTTATATTAATGAAACAATTCATGTGCTTTGTATCAAAATCTGCATAATCTATTGCTAGATTCAGGCCTGTTAAACTAAATAGATGGAAGTCTACATTGTTCATTTTAAATGGTACAGTGCAATCCCACCTATTTTTGGAACAATCATTACAAAACATGGCTCAATTATTTCATAACTATTATTGCAAAAATCCTTGAAGTTGAATCACGACCAAGGCAAGATTGAATCGTATTTAAAATGGAGCCTCCGTATTTTTGGTTCCTGTAAGTGGTCTTTGCTTAAGCTCAAATGTTGAATGTATCAACACTACTAGGGAGAAATAAATTTGCCGTATGGCAGGCTTCTTGGAGGAGCAAACACAGATGCAAAATAATGGCCTTCTCCAGTGTCATCCATTTCTATGGACTAATTGTTTTTATCCACCTTTTCTCTTTCTCTCTGCAGGTTTTTGTGGCAAATCCCAACAAAACACAACCCATCCTGGACATCCTGTTGAAAAACCAGGCTAAACTGATAGAGTTCCTTAGTCAGTTCCAGGCTGACAGGACGGATGATGACCAGTTTAATGATGAAAAGTCGTATTTGATCAAACAAATCAGGGATTTGAAAAGGCCTGCACCTCAGCAGTCCTAACCAGCTTGGTTATAAGCAGTGTTTGTAGACAGCTTTAACTGTTTGTTGCAACAGTATGCAATTTGATTAGGTTTCTTTGTAGGGAAGGGATTGTGTAGTAACATTAACTCATTTCTAATATTTATATGTAATAAAACTAATTTTATTCACGTATATTGTCTTTCTGAGTGCCTGTATATTAGTTCGGGAGGGGGGGGAATCCTAAGCTATGTTTTGTATATGGGTTCATAAGTTTACATACCTGTATAGCAGCAGTGATCTTTAGCCCTACTAATTGTTTGAATCTTTTCAGTAGGCATGTTTCTACGGCTGGGATTACTGCGATATTAGATACGACCAACTCTGATATTGATGGGTTTAATCTCACTTGCTACTATATTTCTATGTAAATCAGGAAAGTTTTGAGTTTACCACTATGGGCTAGGCCAAGCTCATATTGGTGCCTGTTGACAAGCTGGTAGCTTGTTAATTGAAAATGATCTCAAAAGTAGCTTTCAAAATTGGTTTATTCATTCCCCCGTGGAATCCCCCAATATAAAACTGAAAGCTGAGGTGCTTAACTATAATTTGATATCCAGAGAGAGTGCTTCATCCACGCAAACTTGCTTAATGTGTTAGTACACTGTTTTTTATTGTGAGGCAATTGATATGAAGCACATAAAAGATGATTAATGAATATTTTCTTTTCATATCTATGACAAAATACATGTCCCAGTCACTTTTTATTTACTTGGAAAGGGTAGAGCTGTAATTTCATTTTGTGGTTGCACATATCATTTTTCTTTCCAATACTGTAATTGTACATATGGTGGTTGATTACAATAAATACTTGTTACACTGTATAGCTGCAGTATAAATAGCTGCTGTGATGGTCAACTTTTCACAAAATCACAAGTACAGCCTGGTCGGAATACTTTTTAAATAAAGATATTAAACTTATGGGATAATGTGATTTTTATTTTTAAAAAATCTTAAAAAATAAGGCATATTTGTGTTTCATTTGTACTTGTACTTTAAATTCTGCTTCACTTTATTTCTGTTTTAAAGAAATATGATTATAAATTTAAATAGTTTGTAGGATTCAAAATTAATTAAAAATAATTTTGTACTTGAAAAAAACAAGTCAATTAATGACAGTAAACACGGATTTGTTAAAGGCAAATCATGTCTTAAGAAATGTAATTGAGTTCTTTGATGATATAACAGGATTGATGAAAGTAGTGCAGTTGATGTAGTGTATATGGACTTTTCAGAAGGTGTTTGATATTAGACTAGTTAGCAAAATTGCAGCCCATGGGATAAACGGGACAGTGGCAGCATAGGCAAAATTGGCTGCTAGACAGAAAGCAAAGGCTAGTGGTGAATGGTTGTTTTTCAGACTGGAGGGAAGTATACAGTGGTGTCCCCTAATGGTCCATATTAGGTCCACTGCTCTTCTTGATATACTTAAATGACTTGGACTTGGGTATAGAGAGCAACATTTTAAAGTTTGCAGATGACACAAAACTTGGGAACACAGTAAACAGTGAGGAGGATGGTAGCAGACTGCAGGGTGACATAGACAGACTGGTGGAAATGGGCAGATACATGGCAGATTAAGTTTATTGCAGAGAAGTGTGAGATGATGCATTTTGGGAGGAAGAATGAGAAGCAATATACAATAAATGGTACAGCTTTAAAGGAGGTTCAGGAGTAGAGAGACCTGGGGGTTCACATACACAAGTCTTTGAAGGAGACAGGACAGGTTGATAGAACTGTTAAAAAACATATGGGATCCTTGGCTTTATAAATTGAGGCATGGAGTACAAAAGCAAGGAAGTTCTTCTAAACCTTTATAAGTCACTAGTTAGGCCTCAGCTATATTGCAGTCCAATTCTGGGCACTACACTTCAGGAGAACTAGCTTATATTCCCCTCATCCCTGACTGCTTATTGTTCACGGGATATTGCAAGTGCAGTTTAGCTGTCATGTTTACCTTTTCACTGAAAATATTGATAAAATTAAAATATGTATCTTTTCAGTTCTGTTTTTATGTTGTAAATTGTGTTGGAACTTCTATGCTTATGTGAAAGGAACTATACAAGTGCAATGTATAGTCTTTTGGGGATGCAGCCAGCTCTTTCATGTCTTCTCTATCACCAGGGGGATTGAGATGCTTTCCATGTATTTCAATACATCACTAACAATTATTTTCTATATCTGAGTGGTTTGGGTGGAGGGGAGAAGTTTAATAACCTTAGTTAATGCTGGATGACAAAAAGGCAGGAGCTTGGGACCAGAGAAGTAGCCGATAATAATAGTAATGCCTATCATCTTTTTCCGACTGATTGCAAACACTATACACCATTGGAGTGAGTTCCTAGGTTTATCTTGTTACCCTTTTTTCAACAATGTGGTATTTTACACCCTCTTTCTCTGCAAATACATCCGGTTTCAATGAAAATTTTTCAATCTATGCTCTATTTGGCCTAAACTTCAGCACTCTGGAGTCTTTGAACTCTGAAATTCATCTGACCCTGGCAACTTGTTCCATCAATATTTTATCTACCACTTTATCTAAAGTTTATTTGCGGTATCTAACAACCATTCCTTCACATTTATATCTGCTTCTCTCAGCATCTCCTAGCAACCTCTCAACACAAGCGCGAAAATCATATTTATCAATAAGTAAGATCAACAGAATCATTCTGTCCACAATGGACACATAGAAATGTTCAAATGGGAACTGATTAAGTGTGAGCAGTAAAAAAAACAGGAAGTACTAGAAATGCATAATTAAGGAGGGATATTGTAAAATTCAACAGTGAGTTGAACAGCCTCCTGTGCTGTAAGATTCTGTTTGAAGCTGCCCACTTCACCCAGTGTATAAAATTAGTCTGTTTATCTTTAGCATTTTGCATGCTTTCACCTGTGTAAAAATAACAAAACATTTCGCATAGAATTTAAAAACATACTTTGCAACTTTTATTACAAATTCAAATATCCTTTCTGGGAATTCTGCACATGGTTTCAAAACTTATGTTTCTTACCCAAGCAAGAACAAGATTGAAAAGACATAAGCAAGTAACAAAGTTGGGAACAGTTTACGTTTTTGACAAATGAATTTAACATCTAGCAAAATGAGAAACTATTGCACTTTTTTTAAAAAAAGATATTCAATCTATCAGGTAGGCTAATCCTAGCAGATGTAAGATGCTTTAAAGTAAAGATTGAGAGAGGCAAGTATTGAGTTAACTTCAAATCACACAATGTAAGGCTGTAATTTGTTTTCCAAAAGTGTCTCGCTGAGGTTCTGCTGTAACCAATATAGATATGATATATCTATATCATAAATAGCTAAATAATTACTTGCTGTTTCACTAATTCACACACGTTTTTAGAAAAGAATTACATTTTATAATGTTATAAATGTTCCCAGTGTTATATTTGGTGGAAATGAATGGGCGTTTACATGCTTACAGAACACCATGTTTGTCTGAATGAAACATGTTAAATGGTCAATTGGCTGTGTAGATAAGCAGGTCATTTTTGACTGGACTCATCGAGCATACGAGATAGTGTCTGATATGTGAAATGGCTTTGTATAGCACTCGTACTTTCAATACATTTTAAACAACACTTAAAAGTATTATACAGTAGGCAGCACATCTCAGAACTTACCAAGTGAATCAAAAATACGATTTCTTCATATGTGTTTGAACAATGATACATCTGTTTAAGTTAAGTAATACAATCTCAATATCATTTAAAAAAAATGATATTTAACCACAAAATAGCAGCTTTCTTCATCTTAAATAAGTGTCTGTAACATAAGAATGCATTTGTTAAAATATACAATGTTCCAGCTTTAGAAACACAGCTTCTTCCTTTCATGAAGTTTGTCATCTGAAGATTCTACTGGGCGTTTTATCAGGAATCCATCTTTAAGAGAAAAATATTATATAAATGATATACAGCTGAGAAGGTATTCCAAGGAGTTCAACTGAAAGTATATTGAAGAGTTCATATGTCAACTGAGTAACAATATAATCAAGCTTTGCATTGTGAAGTTATTCAAACCCCTTCATGATCGTTCGCACCCCCCCACCCCAACTATGGAATCTCCTCTGTGCCCCTGCCCTTGCCCTAATCACTTACAATTCTATTCCCTCAGTCTCTGGAACTCACTTCCAAAATTTCTTTGCCTTGCTCAGTCTCTCCCTCGTAATCAAAATAATCTCTTTGCCTGGGCCTTTGGTTAACATGATTAAATTCCCCTTCTTCTCATTGTTTCTGTGAAGAGCTCAGTCTAAGACAATTATGAGTTAGCAGAGGAGGAACTGCAGATTTCAAGTTTTGGGATGTAATCCATTGAACCATATGTGTTGTATTGTGGGTTCCTTTACTGTGCAACACTTTAACAATATCATAGATTTCCTAACCATTACCTAGAAAAACAACAACAACAACAAGATTCCATTTATAAAGCGCCTTTCACGTCAGGAGGACGTCCCAAGGCGCTGCACAGTTGGGTCATGACCCGAGCAGGGGGGAAATGGTGAGGGGAGGGAGGGAGGGAGCAAGGAGGGGGGAAATGGTGAGGGGAGGGAAGGGAGGGAGCGAGGAGGGGGAAGAGAGTCGAGAGGGGAGCTGAAGGCTCGGTCAAAGAATGTCAAAATGTCAAAAAATGTACTCGTTTATAATGAACTGATACTTACTCTCAACAATTCCTGTATGTGGGTCTGGCATCCACTGCCACTGCAAAAGACCAAAGGTTTTATGCATGTCATCAGTGTAGTATTTTTAACAATCCTACTATAAAGGCACAGAATATAATCACGTAGGGTCTAAAAAAAAAGTTTATAATTTGAATTAAGGCAGTAACTATGATGAAGTTGATCAAATCTTTTTTGGTCTTTGACCGAAACTGTCAATCCCAGCACATCACTCATCTCCACCAGTAATCTCACTCTCAAACCCCCATCTACGGTTTAGTTACCCAAAACTAGATCTTGCCAATGTTCTCCTTATTGGCCTTTCTTGCTCCTCCCTTCATAGTTTATTTACATTAAATCAAAATGGTGGGCTTGCTACACAAGCTCCTTTCATGCGTTTACAGTAGATGGAGATGGTGAGATGCTCAGAGAGGCAGAGAAAGATGTGAAGGATCAGCTGTAGATATAGTTATTGATAAAGTGACTGAAAACATGGTGGATAGCAACAAAATGGTGGATAAAGGGTTCAAGTTGAGAGAGTGAAACAGGGAGAGGAGGGGGGCGCAGGGGCTCTGATATCACATTTAGAAACTTGGTGAAATCCTTGTGAACAGTTCATTTTATTTTCATTCTTCTTTTACTATATACAGTGCAGCTCTGTTATAACACGGTGACTGGGATGCATGAACCTAACCTGATTTATAGTGAGGTGCAATCAATCGGCGTTTCCACATTGTGATATGGCATCTTTCATGCCTGGAGGAGGTCACTTACTTGTTCATGGACTTCACAAATGGGCCTTAGGAATCCACTCGCTAAATGCCCATGAGTTTAGAACCATGAAGAAGAAATTGTCCTCGGATGGATTTAAATCCAAGACCCAAATGTGAAGTGAGTGCAATTTATGAGGCTTGCTAAAACGATAGCAGGTTTCTTACTACATAGCAACAACATTTTATTTTTCTTTTAGGAACAATGACATTAAATCAGTATATTCAACAATCTTGGAAACTATTCCTTCTTGAATTTTAGTTATTCAGCAATATGTAACAATAGATTTAAGTTACTTACTGTGAATTTCCTTACACCTTGTAGACCAGAAAACTTCTGATATGAGATATCGGGCTTTACTTTGCCAACGTCTAGATCTCCTGTGTATATTTGTTTTATACCAGAACCTTTAATTAAAGGAAGACATTCATCGCATGGACATTTAGTTACAAAAATCATTGTCTTCTCATCTTCCTTAATATCTTGACACCTGAAAACAAACAAATTTAAAACCAATAAATTTATATACACTGGGAAGAATGAAATATCAAATTTATTCTTTGCATAAAGATCACATGATGATTTATAAGTCACAAAAAGTTCACAAGTGATAAAGTGTTCACCTTCCCAGTTCCAGATCAGGTCAGCAAATCAACAAATAAAAAGGGTGAAAATAAAAAGATGAAAGGGGAATGTCCCTGAATACTTTGAATGAGGATTGATGTCTCTAAAGCAACTGAGACAGCTGATGCAATGCATAATCAGAAGCATTTGGATGAACAACCCTATAAACGATACCTGCATTTATTTGCCTTATATCGTCGGTCTCAAAGAGCTTCACAGGATATACTGTAAAGTGGTGTGTAACTGTGTACTTAGTGGACAAATGCAGGACACAGCAATGTCCCACAAACAGTCATTGTGTGAGTGACCATTCTTATTTGGAGGGATTTATCAGCCAGGACACTGGGATAAATTCCCTTCTTTTTTGAAAAGTGCTTTTAACATCTACCTGGACCAGCAGATGGGACCTCGGTTTAATGTCTCATTCAAAGATTGGCACCTCTGACAATCCAACACCCTCCCAGCACCATCAGCATAGACTATATGGGTTCCAAACCTGACATGGGGCTGGAACCCACAACCTTCTGACATATTGCCAAACATGATTTTAAAACATTTAAAGTTGGGAAAGTAAATGGCTTCAAATGTGCTACAGTTACTTACCGGAACGTTAAGGCATTCTGTTCAGCGTGTATAATGTATCTATACTTCCTGGCTTCTCTGTCTTTCTGTTGCTTATCATCCATCTGAGGAAAGTCTGCATATTTGGATCCGACTGGGTAGGCATTATAACCACATCCAATCAGATACATTGTTCCTGTTCCATCACACGTTCTCTACAAATAAAATAAGGAGTAAAAATTCTGATATGGAAGAGACATCACACTTGAGAATTAATTACTATTAAGTACTATAAATGAGTCAATGCTTCCAAGGTTAGATCCCAAGGCAAAACTGGTGCTTGGATTGGCTTCGGCCATTTGGGCCACACAGGAAGTCATTTGCAGTTATTTCGCAAATGTCCGTGAACAGCCAAGCGAATGACAAATTTTATTTGGCCAGTACACCGGGAGAAACTCCCTTCTCTTCTCAAAAAGGGCCATGAGATTTTTTATGTCCAAGTGAACTGGCAGATAGGACCTCGGTTTAACATCTTCAGCACTTCTTTTGAGTGTCAATCTAAACTGTATGAGTTTAAAGTGCCAATGTAGGACTTGAACCCCTAATTTTCTGAATCAAATGAGAGTTCTACCAACTGAGACCAGCTTACACTAAGTGAATTGAAAAATTAATCATGATTAACTTAAAATTGATTTGCTACCATATATCGTAAAATTATAACTTACCGATTTTCCCTCTGCCCAAATGACTGCTCCAACACCAATTTTTTGATCCTCTGAAATATATTAATGTAACAATATTTCAAGTCTTTTTTTAAATAACTCTGTTGTCTGTCGCTAAGCAGGCATGCATTATTTCTAATAAGTATTTCTAAAATTGTGAAACCAACAATAAAAAAAACTATTTCATAACAGACTTCATAACTATTGACTGGCTTTGGATATACTTTTGTTTCAGAACTACAGTACAAAATTACATTCAAATGGACGTTGAAGATGCTGTGACATGCTGCAAAAGAGAAGGGACATTCTCCTCGTGTCATGGTCAACAATCGGTCATTGATCATTCACCTTATGGTTGTTCGTGGGAAATTACGTGTTTTGAGACTTGGTAAAGTGTTATAGAATGCAAATTCATACTTTCAGCAAATTATCCATTCAAGGATGTATTTTATTGCCGATTCCATGCCTCTTTCCACTAGGCATTAAATTATTAAAGGTGATCTTGTTGAAAGCTTTCTGAAAATCTAAGTGTATAAGATGCCCTGTTCATCTTCCCATTTTAGTAGTTAGTTGAAAAAGACTTCCCTTTCCTGATTCCATACAGTCTGTCCTAAACAAGTTATATTTTTATAAGTTTATAAGAGTGTTCTCTCAGCAGCAAATTAATTTCAAAACTTTCCTACACTTTTCTGCATTATAAACAAATTTAATTGCAAGGTGTTATTGAATATCCATTTTCCATGTGCATACTATTTCATCATATCACTTTCTACTTGTCTAAAATGCAATAAACTTGATATTCCATACAGTGTAACTGGGGATTAAAAATTATGCTCCAAAAAATACCAATATTATAAGATAGCTACTCTAATCTATACAATGTAAGTTATTTGGACTTATTAGATCATATGTTTGATCATGGAACCCATCATCCATATCTTTTCCAGCATAAAGAACAGACTTATTCTCTCACCTGTTCGATAGGCCAACAACTGGGCTTGAAGCATGCAGTGTCTTGCAATTTCTTGGATTCCAGTGTTGTCCTGCCCTTCAGGTGGTATTTCTTTATCAGCACAATAAAATCCAACAGTTCCATATTTTGGAATACTGCAATTTACAGTTGCTAGTAAAATAACAAGTTCTTTCATTTTATGTCTCAAATTGGTAAAATAAGGATCATCGCATAGATTCTCCAGACCTAAAGTTTTTAAAATGTCTTTGTGCACGTCTTCATTGGAAATTAAATACAATTCTTCAAATTCCTTCAATTTGTTCTTTCTGTACTCAGTGAAAAAATCCTCCAGTTTAAAATGTGGATCTGTGTCAGCTAAATATTGCAAAAAGCCACACTTCTGTAAGGTTTCCTCCACAAACTGAAGCATATTGTATGCCAGAGGTTGCACCAAGACACAGACACGAGCTCGACTATTGGACTTCAGTCTTTCCACAGCTTTAGCATCAAGCTTTGCATCTGAGCAGCTATCGTTCAATGCATTATGCTCAATAAGGCTCATTTCTGGGTCAGCAGGCCAGTAGGACACCTGATTTACTCCAGCTAAAATAAAATATTAGAATTATTGAACATAAAGATAAACAGGGGTTTGAAGAATGTTATTTGGCAGAAAATACACAATTATATTTCATCATACATACCATTCACAATCATCTTCAAACAGGTTGAGCAAGGTTTACGTGAAAAATAAAGGTCACAATCTTTTAATTTAGCTCCATGCTTCACAACAGCAATTTGACCTGCGTGAAGGTCTGGACTGGAACAGTGCAGACCAATAACCTTTGAATTTTGCACAACAACCAGACCAGTTTTTCTCACCTAAAATGAAAAGCATTTAACATAAGAACATAAGAAATGCTAGACAAAAAAGACCAAGGTCCACCTAGTTTGCCTTCCACCTTCCTGGCGGTCACATGCACATATGTCCTGAACTACTGATGTACTGTATCCCATATTGTTATTTCCTAAAAGAAAACTGTCTAATCTGTGTTTGATTATTTTCTTATCAGATCTCTTTTTGAGTATCAGCCAGGTGTCTGGCATTTTTGTAAACCTATCAACATGCATAAGAGTATCCATAACAGACCCGAGCGTTCCGTGATTATCAATAATTATCATCATGTATGCTATTTAACTTGAAAATTAGAAATACAGTACCAACAAAATGAAAATGAACAAAGTGGAAAGCTCTTAAGATTCTGTATAATAGGCAAGATGAATCAAAAAATAATCACAACGTGTGTGGTGTGTTGGTGGAGGATTATTCAAGAATCATATCCTGTGAAGCTCTTTGAGACACCGACGATATAAGGCTGGCAGGTACTGTACCTCAGTCTCATTTTGTTCGTTATTTGGAAACAGTTCCATCCACAGACTAAGGAGGGTAAAAAGATTCACTTTGGAAAGCCTGGGGTTTTGTCCTAGAAATAAATAAATCTTTATTCAATTGTTTTATTACTATTGTGTAACCGTGCATATTAATACATATTAGTATTGAAATAAAAAAATATAATATAGTTGTCATCATGCATGCCACCTATACATGGAAATTTCTGTGTCTTGAATTGAACGTGCACTCCCTCTCCTAATGGGTACACCATGCTAATCTAATACTGGAATGTATTAGGTGCAGGTTGGCAAAAGCCAAGGCTTGGGAAGACGTTAAACTGGAGTTTAAAACGAGTTAGCTTGCCATTTTATTATTATTATTGAAAGCAGGACATGTAAATCAGGGGATGTAAGTGGAGGCAGCAATGAGCCTGAGCAGAGAAACCCCAGAAAGTGGCTCCTTTAATCGAGCACAATTTAATCACTCATATTTTTATACTCAATTCTGTATGATACAACTTTGTAAGTTTAAAAAAGTTAGCCAGCATTTATGAATGGCATCTCTGTGCTTAGTAAATACAACTCTTGGAATAAAAACAGCAAGGTGCTCCTTCCTCTGAAACATCACAACACCTATGCACTTTCTGAGGACTTCAGATAAGCATTCTTTACGGTTCTATTGCTTTACCATTATCAAATGTAATCTCAAGACACCACAAATATCAAGGTTTCCAAAGCACTCTTTAAATATGGATCCACTCATTGAAACAATCACCATTGGTATTTCTTCTGTCCTTTTGGCTTTTTGTTATTTGGCAATAACCCTCATACACGCCTTCATTACGTCAAGGCTCGACTATGCAAACACACTGCTTGTCGACCTCCCCAACTCCTCCCTCCACAGACTGCAGATCATCCAGAACTCTGCAGCCCGTGTCCTTACCCGCTCTAGGCTCCGTGCCCCTATCACCATCCTTGCCCAACTCCACTGGCTTCCCATCACACAGAGGATAAAGTTCAAGATCCTAGTCCTCACCTTCAAAGCCCTCCAATGTCTTGCTCCCCCCTACCTCTCCGACCTCCTAACCCCCGACCACCCTGTTTGTTCCCTCCGCTCAGCGGGCTCTGGCCTGCTACACGTCCCCCGCCTTCCTCGTCCCAATATTGGTGGGTGGGCCTTCCGTCACTCTGCACCCACCCTCTGGAACTCTATCCCGCAGTCCCTCCATCTCACCCCCTCCCTCACCACCATCAAGAACCACCTCAAGACCTTCCTCTTTGACCGTGCTTTCGATCTACTTGCTTCCCCCATTATTGCCTTTCCCCTTTCCCTCCACCCGACCCCAGCTCGGGTGCATAACTCTGTCCAGCGCCTTGGACGTTCTCCTGACGTGAAAGGCGCTACACAAATGTAATTTTGTTGTTGTTGTTTTGTATAATGTTGTTGTTGTATAATCACAAAGTTTCTTTGAAATATTGGATGTTTAGCACTAAATTTTCTAAGACACAGCATTAAAGTACACATCTTTGTGAGATTTCACTCCTCTGAAATCTAAAGGAAAATAACATTTTCTGTAACCAGCATCAATATGTCACACCTTGATATGCGAGTATTATCAAACAATATATACATAAACAATCTGGTTTCAGGAAATTAGGCTGCAAAGATAGAGATAGTTTGAAGGCTTTCTCAGGTAGTGCACTCTAGATTATTGATTCCTCTAATGAAATGTCACTAAAACATCCAGTATAAAGTTTAAGTGCAAGAATTAGAAATATTCTTTTCTCTTAAATATTTCAATTTTGAAACTTTGAGACTCCGGTTAGTTTAAAAAAAAATCTACGTCAAAATTGCCATTTAACAAATTGAACACGTAGTTATTCGCTAGAGCTGTTCTGATTATACTCGTCTGAACCTGAGGATTCAGGTCCCTGCAGCTGTCTCTTATGGTTCATATTTAAATGGAAGGGCAATACTGTGTGATGGCCTACGCCCCCGCAACTTTGATCGGGTCGGGCTCGGATCGCAGTTTCAACTCCCCAGAAGTTCGATTCCCCTGGGGTTGGTTGAAGTGGACCCATTTCCAAGATTGTCTCTGCGATCTTGCTCCACGTTCCGTTCTCCACCCCAAATCCACCCCAAATTCGACTGAAGTGTCCCCTATCGCTATTTGCAGAGGGTGGCTGGTGCAGATTAGTTGTAACCGTAACAGCACTCTTTGACTTCATTCCTAATTAATCACATTCCGTTAAGGGACGCGGGGGTGGGGGAGGGGAGGGGGAGAGGGGGGAGGGGAGGGGGAGAGGGGGGAGGGGAGGGGGGGGCTCCAAAGCTATTTTCAAGGCATCATTTGCCTATTCGGTGGGATCTAACCTGACTCCGGGGTCTGTTTCGCCCACAACGTACACAGTCGATTCACTTTATAGCATAGAGTCTGTGGAGCGCTTTGAGACGCCGCGATGACGTGATAAGGCGCTACATCAAACGCAAGCATTGTTATTGTTATTATTATTATTGTTATTATTATTATTATTATGGCTTATATCCGCCTTCACTTGATCCCGACCGCACTGCGTGAAGCTGCTCCAGTATTAAGAGACTCTCCAGGTATATCCCGGTGTAAACCCATGGCCTTGTGTGTGTGTGTGTCCCCCCCCCCCCCCCCCCTTGGCTGGTGGTGGGGCGGGTGGGGGGGCAGCCGCCCGCTGTCAGTGACCGTTACCCCGCACAACGGGCCCCCACCACACACCCACACCCACTCACCCTTCACCACGGCCTCCGTCTGCGAGCTCGCCTGCCTCCTGCCGCCGCCGTCGCCGCCGCACGAGGACACGGAAACGCTGCGGCTGTTCATGGTGGGGAGCAGCGGGGCCCCGGGAAGCCCTTCCTCCAGTCCCTCCGACCGGGGGAGGAGCCTGGGCCTACTGACCCAGGTACTTGAACTCGACGCCGGAGCGAGTGCAGCCAGTCGGGGAGCGGCGGCAGGAGAGCGCGGGGAGGAGCCTGGGCCTACTGACCCAGGTACTTAAACTCGACGCCGGAGCGAGTGCAGCCCGGGGGGGGGGAGGGGTGGGGGAGGGGGCGGAGCGGGGGAACTGCGACGTCATAGATTAGTTTTCAGGTGAGTGCGCGCGCACAAAAAAAAAAAAAAAAAAAAAAACCCTCTGCGCCCCCCCCCCCCCCCCCCCCCCCCAGGGCTCACATCAGAGCCCACTATGGTCCTGTTGGGTTCGATGCCCCAATCTACGGGATAATGCCATCCACCTGACCGCTCGCTCCCGGTCCCCGCGTGCGCACTATGGCTGCCGCTTTGACCCGAGCCCCCTCACCCCCTCCCTCCCTCCCGCCCCCCTCCTCTCTCCCCCCAAACCCTCCCCCCTCTCCATCTCTCCCGCTCTCTCCTCCTCTCTCTCCGTCCCTCTCGTCTTCTATCCCCACTTGACCCTCCCACAACCTCCCTCTGCTCCAGTCTGGGAATCCTCCGCCGGGCTCACCGTGGCACTCGGCGTTGGCTGTCCAGCAGCAGCCACACCGACTGCCCCATTCCCCACCACTCTCGCCAGCCACCCCGGACACAGACCCGGGGAGTCAACCTCTCCTCCCTCATCCCCATTCCCCCCACCCCTGCCTCACAACCTGGACCCCCCTCCCTCCCACACACCCTTCTGTCAACCGCTCCCTCCACATCGGACTGCAAAATGTCCGCTCCCTCTGCAACAAGGCCCTGGTCATCAACGATCTCATCCTTGATGAGAACGTTGATATCATGGCCTTGACAGAAACCTGGCTCACCCCAGGCGACACCTTCCCCCTCACGGAGGCCACGCCACCCGGCTACACCTCCCACCACATCCCCCGCCCCAACCGCCGTGGCGGTGGTGTTGCCCTTATCTCAAGGACACCACTTGCCCTATCCCCCTACTCCTCTGGCTCTTTCCCCTCCTTCGAGCACCTCACCCTCTCCCACCCCTCATTCCTCTCCCTTAAAATCCTCCTCCTCTACCGGCCCCCTAAAACCTCTCCCACCTTCATCTCTGACATTTCAACACTCCTCACATCTCTTTGCCTCTCCTCTGATCGCCTCATCATCCTGGGCGACTTTAACCTACACTTCACCCCCTCCTGCTCCATCTCCACAGACTTCTCTTCCCTGCTCTCCTCACTCAACCTTTCCCTACACATAAACTCCCCCACTCACAGTCACGGCCACCCACTCGATTTGGTGATCACCCGGGGCCTCAGTGTCTCGGATGTCACTATTACCGACAAGGCCATCTCCGACCACTACTTCATCTCCTTCACCACCTCCACCCCCCTCCCCACCTCCACCAGACCCACCACCATCTTCTACCGCCCTTGGAAGAAGTTACCCCCACAATCCCTAACCGATGCCTTGGAGTCCTCTGAACTCCTCTCCCTCTGGCCTTCAACCCTCACCGACCCCTCTTCTCCTCTCTCCCTCCTCCACAATATCCTCTCCTCCACACTCGATACTCTTGCCCCCATCACTTCCCGCACTGTCTCCTACTCCCGCTCCTCCCCCTGGTACACCACCCACCTCCGCTCACTGAAATGCCAGGTGCGGGCTGCTGAGCGCACCTTTGTCAAATCTGGCCTAACGGTCCACCGACAAATCTGGCTGGACCTCCTCAAAATTTACCGCTCCACTCTAGCCTCGGCCAAGTCGTCCTTCTACTCCAGGATAATCCTGGAGGCGAAGAACAACCCCAGGCTACTGTTTTCCACCACATCCCGACTCCTCCGTCCCCCCCGCCACCCCGCGCAGGTCATCTCCTCCAACCTTCACTGCGAGGAGATGCTGGATTTCCTTGAATCCAAGATCAAGGGAATCCGCTCCGCGGTCACTTCCCCTCCAACTTCCACCCACCACCCACCCCTTCCCTCCCACACTCCGACTCCTACCCATCCTCCCCTACACACCTTCGTACCCGTTTCCCCACCCTCTGTCACTGAACTCATCCTATCCCTAAAACCAACCACCTGCTCCCTTGACCCCATCCCCACTCCACTCCTTATCTCCCAGCTCCATTTTCTTGCCCCACACATCACTGACATCATAAACCTGTCCCTCTCCTCTGGCTCTGTCCCCATTCCATTAAAAACTGCCATCATCACGCCCACCCTGAAAAAACCCTCCCTTGATGCGTCGCAGCTATCAAGCTACCGGCCCATCTCCAACCTCCCCTTTCTCTCCAAGGTCTTGGAAAGAGTTGTCGCCTCCCAACTGCGCTCTTTCCTCTCCACCCATTCTCTTTTTGAACCCCTTCAGTCAGGTTTCCGTGCTGCTCATAGCACAGAAACTGCCCTGGTCAAGGTCACCAATGATATCCTGACCATCTGTGACCAGGGCTCCCTCTGTCTCCTCGTCCTCCTCGACCTATCGGCAGCATTCGATACGGTCGACCACGCTATCCTACTCCACCGCTTGTCCTCCCACCTCAACCTTCAAGGCACTGTCCTTGAATGGTTTAGCTCTTACCTTTCCCACCGTCTTCACTTCGTCTCAACGAATGGCTTCTCCTCCACCCCCCGTACTGTCTCATGTGGTGTCCCTCAGGGCTCTGTCCTCGGTCCCCTCCTCTTCACCCTCTATATGCTCCCCCTTGGTGACATCATCCGCAACATGGGGTTAACTTCCACATGTATGCGGATGACACCCAACTCTACCTTTCCTCCTCTACTCTCAACTCCACGACCACCGATGTCCTGACAGCCTGCCTGTCCGACATCGAGTCCTGGACGAGAGACAACTTTCTTCAGCTCAACGTGCGAAAAACCGAGGCCCTCCTGATTGGCTCACGTCAGCGCCTCCGCACCTCAGGCGCTGACACCATCAGCATCCAAGGCTGCACTCTCCACCTCTCAAAGCCAGTCAGGAACCTCGGCGTTTTGTTCGACCCTGAGCTGTCCTTTCTCCCTCACATCCGCACCACAACTGGCACCGCCTTCCATCACCTCCGGAACATCGCCAGACTACGGCACTACCTCACCCCTCACGCTGCTGAAACCCTGGTTCACGCCTTTGTCACCTCAAGGCTGGACTATGGGAACTCTCTCCTCGCCGGCCTTCCCGCCACCTCCCTCCACAAGCTGCAGGTCATTCAGAACTCTGCAGCTCGTGTACTGTCCCGCACCAGGCTTCGGGACCACATCACTCCCACCCTCGCTCGCCTCCACTGGCTCCCCATCCCCCAGAGGATTGATTTCAAGATCCTCATCCTCACCTACAAGGCCATTCACGGCCTTGCTCCCTCCTACCTCTCCAACCTACTATCCCCCTACCTACCTGCCCGTACCCTCCGTTCCTCTGGCTCCGGTCTGCTCCACGTCCCCCGCCCCAACCGCCCTACTATCGGTGGTCGGGCCTTCAGCCTCTCAGCCCCAGGCTCTGGAACTCCATCCCCCAGTGCCTTCGCCTTGCTTCCTCCCTTTCCTCCTTCAAGGCCGGTCTCAAAACCTTTCTCTTTGACCGTGCCTTCAGCTCCCCTCTCGACTCTCTTCCCCCTCCTCGCTCCCTCCCTTCCCTCCCCTCACCCTGACCATTTCCCCCCTCCTCTCTCCCTCCCTTCCCTCCCCTCACCCTGACCATTTCCCCCCTCCTCGCTCCCTCCCTTCCCTCCCCTCACCCTGACCATTTCCCCCCTGCTCGGGTCATGACCCAACTGTGCAGCGCCTTGGGACGTCCTCCTGACGTGAAAGGCGCTCTATAAATGGAATCTTGTTGTTGTTGTTGTTGTTGTTGTCCTCTCGGCTGCCCTCCCGCTCCTCCCGGCAGCCCCGCCGTCGCCGTCCGCCGCCGAGGCCCCACCCTCTCTCCCGCCACGTCAGCACGTCAGCACGTCATGACGCACTCGGCGGCACGGCGGCCACGTTGACGGTTGGGCGGGTTCACGCTCAATTGTGCGGGGAGAAGAGACGGTTGGCGCCTGATTCTTTTTTTTAAAAAAATTCAAATTTAAACCCGCTTAACGGTTTTTTTCACCCCACCCCCACCCCCTTTGAAAACTTTTCTTACCCGGTTTCGAAAAGCAATCGCCTAAATTGGCCACTACCGCACCCATAGCTGCATCATCCCATGGGAGGCCACACCTTTGGGGGCCGGTGAATTTGGTGGACTTCGGGGGCCACCAATGTATTTTAAGCTCCGGACAGCCCCGAGTTGACCCCTGACCGGCCCAGCGAGCGTCAACCGAGGCGCCAGAGGGGTCGAACGCGTCGGGGACAAAAATTGTTTTTTTAAAAAAAACAAGAGACGGGTTAAGGCGGCGGTGGGTGGTGGGCGGTTGGGGTGTCACTGCTGTGCGCGGTTATTTGGCTGCCGCCTCTCGCCCGCAAAATATACAGTCGATTCACTTTACAGTACGGACTGTGAAGCGCTTTGAGACGTCTGTATCACGCGCGAGGGTTAATTATTATTAACGCGTTCGTTCCACGGGCTTTTCAAAGGGGAAATCGCGGGACCGGTTTCAATGGGGCGGCAAACGCCAACCAAGGGCTCTGATGGAGAAGAGCGGAGACCTCGGTGTGTCGCTCTCCCGTGTTTCCCAGTTAAACAGTTTTTCTAAATATTTGATTTCACTTAAACCTTTCAATCGTTTTGCACTCAGGTGGAAAGTTCATTTAAGCATAAGCTCAACAGCTGTTCGTTGTTTGAAAAGTTACTACAAGCAAACAAGTTTCTGTGATTTTTATTCTCCGTGCTTCATTACTTTCCCGAAACGGGAGAGTAAGATGTTACTTCAGCCATTTTGCGTTGTGTTGTTTACAATAAAAATTAAGGTACAGTCTGCCGAGATATTTCATTTTATCAAATAAAGAAAAGGCAGTCTTCATCTTCTGTTCATTGCTATGGCATTAGACTTTATAAATAAATGAACTGAGCAGCAGAAATATATTCTGATACTCAAGATATCCAAAGAAATCCCCCAAAATGTGAAAACTAGAGGACACAGCAGAGCAGTTCACATTTCTGAGCAGAATGTTGAACACTGCAGAGCAAACACTTCTTAGTTCATGTTGCGAGTGATGCTGTTGGCTTTAATACGTGAGATTGGCTTTCACTTTACATAGATAGAGATCAAAGACCATAAATCTTTATTATAAAGTATATTTTTCAATTCCATTGAAGTCTTCTAGATGCAAGTTACAGCAGGTTACAGCTACAACTTATCAAAATAACATTAACATCAACAATAACACAATCATATTGAGACAACATAGAAACTGCTGCAAAAAAAACAAAACTTGCTAAAAGTCAAATACAGACATTGCTGATAACTTCAACAATTGTCAGAACACAAAATACAACACAAAAGTACAGTGAAGGGAGAACAAGGAAAATGCAATGTATGTTTCTACTATCATTATATTACATATGATTATATATAATATGTATTATAATATATTATTAAATGCAATATGATATTACATTCTAGAAATGAAATTTCATGGAGAGGATTTTTCTTTCTCTCCTAGCATTAATTTGTAGCATCTGCCTAGCTCTTTCAGACGCTGGTGCTTGGCTCGGTAGAGCCTGAAGTATCTTCCTTCGTGTTGAAGATGGACCATGGACGAGCTTGGTGTGTGAACAGCAGTTTGTAGGCAGCAGCTCTGTACTTTCTGGACATGAGATTATAGAGCACTGGATTGATTGAGGCACTCAGGTAAAACAGCAGCATGGAAACTATGTTAAAATATTGACTGAAAAAGAACACAGCAATCCCTCCATTCTCCGAGGTGTTGGAAAAGAGGTTTCGGCCAACATGAAAGGGCAACCAACAGATAGCAAACGCCAAAACAACCACAGCTGAAAAACAAACACAAGACAAACTCTTTAACACTCAGACAATTGTAATTAACACTCAGTTTGGCAGCACTCCTGCCTCTAGTTCAGAAGACTGTGTGTTCCAGCTCATATTGGGACTTGAGCTCATATTCCAGGCTGACAACCAGCACGGAGGAGCTCTGAATTGTCAGATGTGACATGCTTGGGTCGAGTTGTTAAACTGAGGATCTTGTTCGGGTGGGCATTAAAGATCACATGGCAGTATTTAAAATTAAAAAGGAGTTTTTTCTGGTATCCTGGCCAATAATTATCTTGTGAAATTGCTTATTCACTTTGTGGGTACTTGTGGGACATTGTTCTGTGCAAAATGACTGCTGCACTTGCCTACCAATCACTACTTGACAGCAATTATCTGAAGAGTTTTGAGATTTTTCAATTTGATATAATCATTATATCAAATGCGGGAATTATTATGAATTATGTAGTTATGACCAGTTCAGATATCACCAACAATGTATATTAATCAAGATAAGAAACTATTCATAAAAACGAAGCAAAGACAGATTTGCAATGTTTACATATGAGTTTCAACATTTTACAGAGGTCTGACTATTATTTCATTACAGAATGCTTTATGGAATCATTCATTACAGGGCAGGAAACAAAACAGTCAATGAGAGAGAAAAGCAGTAATATGTGTGCATTAATCATTTTGAGGCTACATTTTGCATCGTTGAACAAAGATTATTAAATTCAAAATGCCAATTAAAAGCAAATGCCCAACTGGTTATAACTGGTTCAAAATGTGGGGAAATTACTCTGGAGAGAGTAAATATTTTCCCTGTACTATTTGGTATGCATTTAATTCATGATAAACTCAAAGATTGTTTTTTTTCTGTTAAATGCTTAAGGCAAAAATGTTGCTACAGTTCTGTACTACTAGTAGTTAGACCTAGGAAGAGATGAAAGATCCAGTTTATTGCAGTACTTAACAGAGTGATAGAAAATCACCCATAATATTTCTCGGACATTTTAATCTGTGATACTTTCTCTACATTTTTTCTATATATTTAATATTTTTACATGTCAAAACACCAAAACTCAGATCAATATTCCATTATTTTTAAATTTTGGCTTTGTATTTCTACTGATTGAAGCTGAGTTGCATCCACTATAATTTATTTTGTTGTGCTGAGACTCAAACAAATTAGGTGCCGAGAATATTAAACTGGTACATTGATTTTTGGGAGGAAATTTTTGATATTGTTTGTTTTAAATTATACTTTAGATATAGCAACTCAGGAGACACTGAATGGAGAGAACCAAGTTTACAGCTAAAGTTTTAGCATTTTAGTGGTTTCTATTCTAGTTAAGAAGCATTAAGAAGCATTGTGGAGTCCTGTAGCTCAGTGGTTAGAGCACTCGCTTTGCAAGTGAGAGATCTGAGTTCAATTCCAGGCAGAGGGCGAAACCATGGGCAAGTTTCCTTACTCCACACAGAGCCTAATAATAATCCCTCCAAAACCAAAAACAATAATAAATTGGTCATTTTCAATCCATGACTGTTTGTGGGCTGTGCGCAATTGGCTGCCGCATTCGCCCACAAATTCACTTTACAGTGTGTTCTGTGAAGCACTTTGGGGCTCCTCCCGACGTGAAAAGCGCTATATCAAATGCAAGAATTATTATTATTATTGTATGGACTTACCCAAGATCTTTACTGTTTGCTTGTGATATCTCTCCCGGTTTGCAGCATTGGGTCCTTTGATCTTGTTCTTGCTTTTCCACAGTTTTCTTCCTATGAATCCATAGAGGAAAGCTAGGCAGATCATGGGGAAGAAGAAATAGATGGTGGAGACCCAGATCATGATGCCAAGTAACCCTGAGTTGACAGCATATTCTGTGTGTTTGCACATATCACTATCCTCTTCTACCCCAACCAGGAAAAAGAAGGGGCTGGCAGATATCAAGGCGAAAGCCCAAAGCAATGCAATGACACATTTCACTCTTTGTTTGGTATTGAAGACTTTGGCTTTGAGAGGGAAGCAGATCGCCAGATACCTCTCGATGCTCAGGGCTGTGATGTGCAAAATAGTGGCATAGGTACAGCCTTCGTTTATGTACTGGTAAAATCTGCACACAAACTCCCCAAAAATCCAGGGTCTGTACTTCCACAAACGGTATAGGTCAAAAGGCAAGCAGAAGAATATCATCAAGTCAGATACCGCCATGCTCGTCAGGTAGAGGTTCGTGGTGGTCTTCATGTCCTTGTATCTTCTTATGATCAAAACAGTCATTGTGTTACCAGTGGCACCAATGATGAATAGAATGATACAAACAATTGTCACTGGGATCAAGGTAGTCACTGGAAAAAGACGGCAGGTCTGGTGATTACAAAGTAAAAGCTCCAACAAATAACTATTATTGGAAACATTTTCCATTCTGCAAAAATAACGTTTTCACTCACTGATGTCTTATCAGAGCAAACAACCCAGATAAGCAAAGGCAACAGCTTGGAGCACTGTTCGAAATCCTAGGATTGACTATTGTAACTAGAGGGCGAGGTAATATTTGAAGGAACCTCGGCTATAATTTATGAAGAGGGGAATACTCTGGATCTCCTGGGAGTCGAGTATCTCTAGACAGACGGGTTAGGTAGCTCAAATATTGCTTAGGTGCAGTGGCAAATTGTCCAATCTCCAGATGGCACTAGATACAAAGTCATTTATGTATTTGGTCTGAGATCTTTTCACTTAATGTGCTCATTGAATTGAAACCAGTCACATATGTGATTCTGGCCAAATCCATTTCTCTGCAAGTGTTTATGAGAGAAATCTAAAGCAGAATGGTCCAGCTCATTTTGTAAACTCTTCTGTGGTGACTTTTTTTAAAATCAGATTAGGAAGATGCAGGGAATGTGTGTGTGAATTGAAATTTTATATCTTTAGACGCAGCAGACCCAAATCACTCAGCTGCGTGGTGAGTGTAAGTTTTGTGGACACAAAGTATTTTTGAGTAATTAGAGCATTTCCACATTTCAAGAAGACTGTGCATAGCACAAATGGACATGAATTTGTACAAAGACGTAGGAAGAATCAGCTTCTGAGTGGTGATTATCAGCAATTGATCTAGCAACTGGTCAAGTATGTGTGGTCAAAAGCTGTTTTGTCTCCCATCTTTCTGTGGTGCTAAAGGCAATAAAATCTTGAGATTATGTTCCACTCCCAACCTTTCTCCATTCTGCCACATTAGCATCATTATGCACTGGAAGTTGACAAAGGGACAAAGCAAGTGAAAGACACCAAGGTAAAGGAAAATAATAATACAATAATTTGGTTATGTTTACCGATCAATTATAAAATGAGCAAAGTGTATTATTGTAGCTCAGCTCAGAAGTGGTCTTAGGTTCACAATCTTTTTCTATAGTAATTAGTCAAGTCAGTTTTCTATCAGAATTAGAGGAACATTTATTCTTTGGATCACATGGTGATTGTATCATACACCATGTAGGTGTTGAAAATAGTGCAATTTTAATAGTTGAACCAAATCAGTAACCAAATCAGATATTTGCTCTGCTTTGAAGAGTTCAACGATTCTTCATATAGTGATATTTTGCCAAGGCAAGGTTTCAGAAAGGTGTTAAATAATTAAATTGTACTTGTTGAATTTCTGAATCTTTCCAAAAATGTCTTTCTATAAACCCATTGTGAAATTATCAAGGCAGTAGACAATACAAAGAATCATTCATTGTTTATTGTGCATGTATTTGTTTGATGTATTACTAACAGAGTTACAGTTGGATTTAGATGCATATTGAATAGTTTATACATGTTATGGCAGCTTTATATTATCAGTACTAATTCTGACATAGTACAAGAATTTTCAAGTGATATATTTATAACTGTTCAAAAAGTTTCCATAGTTTTTTGGAATATACAATAAATGAGGTAACTGTGAAGATTAGTTACATTTAAAAACCATCAGCTCTCAGTACAGAAAACTGCAATGAGAGATTATGGAAAATACAACTATGCTTATAAATGACTGATTGTATAACTATCAAAAATAGGAATGATTTGAATTTGACGTTCAAAATAAACTTTTTTCAGCTTCCTCACAACAACAAATTCAGGAAACAATTTTAAAATTCAGCCTATATTGGCAATGGAATTTTGGCCATCATAAATTAAATTTCCACACATTCTCCTTTATATAATCCAACCTGGTGATAAAATCTTAGGTATTATAAGTACATTTTAAAAAAAATAGCAGTGGCACAATAGAAATTAGCTACCGCTTTTCTCTATGCTCATATAACAAACTGCCGCAAACGATAATAAGCAAACTACAAAAAACTGAATTAAGGCTGTAGTTCTTAAAAGGGGTGTATGTTCCTTACATTTTATTTCTGACAAGATTAAATTACAGCCAAGTTAAGCCTAGAAATAAAGATACTACCTCTCTACTGAATATTTTGATATAATTTTAACGTACGCACAATTTTTTTCTGGCTGCCATTTTTGTTTTTTTAATAAAGATTTCAGCAGGTAAGAAAAAATCATTTACAAAGCACTGCATTTGAAATCATTCAGCTTGAGGTACAATGTACACTTTCTTTCAGTGATGCTTTCCAACGTTGAAATATAACAAATCATTTATCTTAAATTATAAGGGAAACGTAAACATATTTCACAATGCAGAGAAGTCACCTTTGTATCAATGTTAACATCAATCCTCCCAACAGGGTGGCACATAAAACAAACTGATTTTCAATAGCATAAATGGCACTGCGAACAATTTAAAGTCTTAGTAAGTAATTCAGTATATTTTTATGAATTTAATTATAATAAATAAAACAAAGACACTAACCAACAAAAACACTAGAATGAATTGCACTATGCCAACAAAACTAAGCTTGCTAAAGAAAGTGACTTGTACACAACAGAGAACAAAAGACAAAATCTTTTGATTTGCTTTTGCAGATATTCCAACATAGCCAGTTCTTCATCAACAACTACACAGTGATACATTGCAATTAAGGTGCTGAAAATGTAATAAAACACAAATAAATGGGTCATTCTCGATCAAATGATCTGCAGCTACAATGATTCACAACAATTACAATTACTGCATTGCGACATTACTAGCATGCAATTTTTAATATATAAATCAAGTCACTATTTGCTTTTGAGACTTGCAACAACACAAAACGTACGCACGTTGCTTTTGAGATGTTTGGTGCTCTTCGCTGTTCTTAAATAAAGTGTCAATGATTTGTGCATTAGGCTTCTGCCTTATTTAGACTATAGTAACAACTGCTTAATATGCCCTTAGGTTAAAGAATTCTTAGCAGTAATGGTATTCAATAGTGAGAATTTTAAAGGAAGGAATACTGCCAAATTCAAAAATGTCAGATATAAATGGACCCATTATAATGTATGTAAAATATTGAACATAGTACATTAACTGTGCCAATTCTCAAAACTATGATCATTTTACTTTACTAAGTAGTGCAATTGGATCTCAGACACTGGCAGTTAAAAATCTAAACTTTAGCACATTTTGGACAGCTTTATCCACACAATTATTATCTCAATCACTCACAGGCAATCTAATCCAAAATCGTCCTCTTCAATCTGATCACCTCAATCAGGCAATCTTTTGGAAGAGGTAGGAATTGAACAATTATTAATGGTTTAAAGTTTCACAGTTTGGGTTCAGTATTGTTGCACGATTTACACATTTGCCTAGTTTGCTAGGCTGAATGTAATACGATTTTCATTATTGCAGTATATTGACTGGACTGCAATAAAGTGCATTGATTTGAATTTTCACACAAAAGTATAGCTCTACAACTGGACTGTTATCTGGAAAAAGCTGCTTCAGAGGGTCGTTTGATAAGAGATACTATCTGCATTCACCTAGATATTCTGGTATGAGAGTTTTGGTGCTATCAACAACTCTCTATTTGAATGTTGTCTCCATATTGCCAGCTTTTTTCTAACAATCATTTATGGGCAATAACAGCAACAGAGATGGTGGTAAAGAGGCTCTATCCATGATCTGATACCACCATTCTCTTAAAAGCAACATCCACAATAATTTGATATTACAACACAAGTAACACATGGCAGACATGGATACAAACTACAGCTATTCACTTGATGACAAAATATTGAACAACAAACGCAATCAAAATAGAAACCGCAGCAAACAATACAAGAATGAGGGCAGCACACTGCTCGTCACTTAGTGTCTGTGTTTTCTTTGTGACATCCACATTATCTTTGTGGTCGCTGGTTGGTGTTTCATTCCTCTGAGAATATAATATGACAGTAGCACTGTAAGGACCCATCAGATCATGAGGTTCTGGAGGGTCTTGGCATTGGCGAATGGCACTCACTCGAAACCGATATTCACAATTTGACTGGAGGTTTGATACCTGGAATGTTGTTTTTGGACCTTTATAAATCTGCAGAAAAAATATTTTTAAAAAATGACTAAACAGCGAATGAGTCCGGTAACTCATTTGATGAAGTTACAGATAACTGGTGGCATGGATGAACCTAGGCTGAAAGACATTAGCCACAGAGTAAGATATTTATCAGATTATAAAGAAGAATACAGGAAACTGCAGGATGCCAGATTGCTTAGCATAGCCAGCAGATAGGTGGCGGATTGTGTTTAATATCGAATAGTTTGATATTCTTTGGTGGGAGAAAGTAGTCAAGTGCAGGTACCCAAGGCTCTGTAAATGTTGAGGCAAGGCACCTGAGGTTCAAGGTCAGTCTGTGCCAAAGCTACCACCAATGTTAGTCAATACCTGTTGCTACCAGTAGTGCCAATGAAAGCAATAGCAGCACCAGTGTGGAAATGGGAGCACTCTGTACCATCAATGTAGGTAGCAGCACTGTAAGATTATATCCGTGATGTTTAATGTTTCTAAGGCTTTTAATTAATCTTTGGCCGATCGGGACAAAGGAATTGTATTGCAAGATACAGGGGTGAAAGTTGAGACTCTCCTGCAGAATAAAGTAACGATGGAAGCTACAAAGGCTTTTGAGAAAAAGTTATCCGGGATTGCAGGAAGGAAGGATTACTTCCACTAATGACCAAAGAGGGTCCAGTCTATAAGGAGGTAAGAAAACACCTTGATAAAGAAGTTTATGAAGGTCGGATTAAAGTGAAGAAGGCCAGACAGTTGTTGGTTTACGTGGTGCATTTTTGTACAGATAGGAGTTAGGTAGGTCAAAATGCTGTTCACTCAAATCAAGAAATTAACAGAAGTTGAGCGAGAGAGTAGGATGGGTTAAGTGAAAAAAACACAGCAAGAGAAAGACATTTATACAGCAATTTCTATTCTCACTTCACATGATGGTCATAAACTTTACTGCAATCATATTAACCAACTAAAGTGTTTAAAAAACGAGTGATTTCACCTTGTGATTTAGTTCCTACAGATACTGACAATGGCTTGTTACACTCTATGGAGGTCGCCTTCAATGCAGCGACTTCTTCTGGGACGACTTATACTTTTTCCTTACCCTCCCACCCACAAAGCCGGTCTTTGCATTCAATTTCAGCTCAACCGTCTGGGAGGGAGACGAGTGGACAAGTACAACTCAGTCAATCGTCTGCTTCACAACAACAGCCAATACTTGCACAGAGGACAGGGTCTACATTGGCAACCGCGAGTGTTTTGTATGCGTCGGGTGCAGCAGAGCGTGAGGTGACAGGGTCGATAGGGAGAATATACACCGTGACAGTTCAAGAAGAAGTGATAGTATTAGGAATGTTAGTATTCTGATTTACTTTATGTAACATTTACTTTGTCTGTTCCAGTATTTTAGTAATGCTCAAAGCCAGCAGGCAAGGATAGAGGGAACACCCACTGAAATAATGCTCAAAATTTCTGTGGCCATACTGTTCATGTTAATCGTGATATTATTGATAATGATGTGCTGTAATTACAGATGCTAAAATTGGTTGAAAGGATTGATGCGGTGGCTGAAGTAAAAGGGAATTATGAAGATTCTGATGGTGATAGTGGGCTGTGCTGTCAGCTTGACCCACTCGAGGATAGTCAGCAATCCCAGAATTCTGGTTCGTCTTAAGTTGACCAAAGAAAATCGCAAAGATTCATGGACTCGTTTTGCTGAAATAGAACTGATTCTACATATCACAAAGACATTGATGACATCAGTACATTTAAACTGCCAAGAACAAAAGGAGTGTACTAACCTTGAAGGATATATTTTTAACCCTACAATGGTAAAAACAAGCTGTTGAATGTCTCACTGCAGACTTGGCATAGTGACTAAAAAGGTCTAAGTTTGGGAATGAAGAAGACAAATCTAACCAATCTTAAGAGATATTCTACAATTAACATTGATCGAACCACGTTAACAAGTCAATTCCTAATCACAGCCGCTGTCCCAATCTGATTCATTCATTGCACTGAACTTTATTATTCATGTCTTATGCTTTTGTGATTGCTTTTACATTGATTGGGTCTTTATATTATTTGCGCTCCATATAAAGGGCTACCCAGGTGCAATCTGACCATTTACAGTTAGCTAGCTAAATGAGAGATCAAAAATCTTATTTTCTCAATCTCAAAGTGGGGACTGTAAGATTATATTTGTGATGTTTAATGTGTTTAAGGCTTTTAATTAATCTTTATGTATGTTTAGAATGTGACCTGCCAATAATCCTTTAATAAGGTTTGTTTGATTTAATAACTAGCTTAGCAGGGGTTAAAATTAGCTTTGCTGGACCAGTTGAGGTTAGCTTCTGATTACATTTCATATTTTGCTGGGAAGATGTTCACTCCTCCGAGATAATGAGCAATTGGGTCCTTGAGCACAGATGTAAGAACGATGGACCATAGAAAGAAAAAGCTGCAGCTTCAGACACCTGGCTATATCTCAAGGCTGAGAAACAAGCCGGCTGTGGAAGGCTTCCCAGAAGTTGTCCACATCTCTCTCTCTGCAAAGCAGCCTGAGAAGTGTGGGGGTTATCTCTGTGACAAGGGGAAGTGGAGGTAGAAACACATGAAAGATGTAACTTTGAAATAGTTGGAGTTGTCGCAGAGCGTCAGCACACTTTCCAGCGGAGTCGATATCGATTTTACTGTATCTATGGTTTCAGTTTTAAGAATAAGTTAAGCTAATTGTGTTACTTAAACCTTGGATTATTACATCACTGTATTGTTCGACTCCATCTGAATCTCTTACACTGCAGACCAACTTGCTTGTATAAAAGGACATATTGCAGACGTGGATGCTGAGGGCACTACAGCTGATGGAGAGAAATGTTAATGTATCTCCAGCCCAGCAGTGGGAGTAGGCATACAGCTGATGCCAGTCAGTACTGATCAGGGCCTCCTGATGGGCCAAACTTGTGGTATCAGGGTTTTGGTATCAACCTTGGATGTTCTGTCAGGAGTTCAATTCCCACGTTGTACACATTCAACCAACTTGGACAGCAGGTCCTTTCTCTCCTTTGGTACCTCTCCTGCCTAAGTTCCGGAAAGTGGACTCACTACATGTTTCTACCATATGTCGAAAAATGTAGGCGCACAACACTTAATGCCATAGCATGCCTAGAAGAGACAACAGTCATGGCAATTCACCATTGCAAAAGCTCTAATGCACTAAACTATTAAAGTTTAGCATTGTAGGTGTTAAATAATGTTAAATTAAAATAATAAATTGAGAAGTGAGAGAAAAATAAATATTTTCCTTTTGTTTGTTATATGTATATAGAAAATATATATTCTACATGCACGAACAAAAGGAGTAAATTTCTATATGTATTACTGTGAATGACGAGTTAACCGCTCGGTGGCACTGGAGAGCAGACTGGTTCAGATGAAGAAAGCACCACATTTGAACCCATTTGACTTCATCTCTCCAGAATACACAGCCTACCATCTTCCATGAAAGCACCAAGCATCAAATACGTCCACTGTTTGCCTCAATCACCCTTCCTAGTAACCTAATTTCCAATCATGAATTACTCTCTGTGGACAGTGTCAGTGTCCACAGAGTGTCAAATTGTCAACACAGCATGTTCTTATGCCACTGCTGCTGTTGGCATCAATGATGCTGGCTATCAGCCCTGGTGTAGTTGGTGAGCTCTCCTTGCTAAGATTAATGCCGATTAAGTCAGTGAGCAATGTAGTACCGGACCTGTTGGATCTAACTTTGTTATTGATGCTGGCTGGCTAACAAGTTTGGAGGTGCTCTGACGGTTGAGGCAGCTGGCAGATCTCTTTAGTGTCTACCGTCACTTAGCTAGGGCCCTGCCATCAATCTTCTTTGCTTCTCGTTTTCACGCATTGTCCTGCTTTTTGAAGCCGACTCACCATCATCTTTTTTTCTGAAAGCTGCTTTCTTTTAAAAAGCAATGCAACTACCTGGCTCCATTATAGGTACCTTTATTTTTAAAATAGCTATAACAAAAACTGGCAAATTAAATATATCTTAAAACGCATCAACTGTTTAACTATATAAAAGCCAATTGGCTAACTAATTATTACTATACATCTGATTCTCCAATGTTTTGCTGAATGAGTGTTGTATTACTGGAACTTGATATAATTATGAACTGAAAAATCGAGCCAGAGACCTATCAAAATTTTCAAAGAATATTTTTAAGTATCTCAAATTCAATGGCATTGAGGATAGCAATGATATGCTCCAATTGCTATGATGTGATTTGCTCTAAACCACCCACCTCTCCTTAATGGAAAAAGTGATAAGAGCTCAAAAAAGTTGTATTGATTGAAAACTTAAAAATGAATAAGCATAAAACAGGAACAGGAGACAGATACTGAACTAGCATACCCTAACTCTGGTAACATTTAAATTTGCAATAATCAAATGTTTCTGAGTGACAACATATACCACAGGAAGTGAGTTACCTGTTTGAATTCAGAGTCTTTACTGGTCATGGCCTGAAGACTGTAAACAATCGGATCCCCCTTCATTGCTGGCAAAGCTTCCCACGTGAGCTCACACGTGTTCTCATCCAGCCGCTCTAATCGTGGAGCTAGCAAAAAAAGAATATCAGGCACATTAAAGTAAGATAAATTAAAAAGTAGGTAAAGAAAAAGAATGATAATGAACTGCTTTACGTGTCTAATGCCAGGGCACATTCTGATCTTTTTGTGTCTTTCTAAAATATTTAACAATCCTTGCATTTGATATAGCGCCTTATCACATCTTCGAGATGTCTCAAAGCGCTTCACAGAATATACTGTAAAGTGAATTGACTGTATATTTTGTGGGTGAAATGGGGCAGCCAATTGGCACAGCAGTGTCACACAAACAGTCATGGATTGAAGTGACCAATTTAATATTGTTTTAAATTAATTATTACCCCCGGAAAAGTGATCCACCAATCGACTAACAACCGGGTTCCTACTCACTGCTAGGTAAACAGAGGCGTGTGGAATAAGGAAACTTGCGCAACATTTCGCCCTGCCGGGTATCGAATCCAGGTCTCTCGCTTGCGAGGTGAGTGCTCTAACTACTAAGCTACATGATTTCACTGTGAGGGAAGAAGATCGCTTATTTTCATTCCACCATGTGCACCAACTATGACGAATTAGCAATTTGCTTCAAGGTTTTTGCAGTGCCAAAACTAATCAGACGAGAATGATAATTCCTTCCACTTTCTAATTCATTCTCCACTCTGTAGAGAGGCACCTTTCAAGAAGATTCAAAGCTGAATTTAAAATGTCATCCCTCTACGAATGTAGCTTCAGAGTGACATTCACACTAGTCATGGAGATATCTCCAGATCAGATATTTCTTACACAATGATAATATTATTCTTGAGAGTGACAAACCAATGAAGAAAAATGGGAAAAATGTTTAGAAGAAACACATTAATAGTAGCTGTAGTTTAAAATGGCCTTTATTCATTGGTTTGAGTTTAAGATTACTACATTAATAATTTTACCAGTTTCAAAAGGCTAAAGCAAATCTGAAATTAACACTTAAACTGGCAGGTAAATTTGACTTGAGGTTATTTTGATTTTAAGGTGGCAAACCAGACTTCATATATACTTCGGAAGTAACGATACAACTAATTTGGAAATACAGCCATCTTCATCTGAACCAATTTGTGATTTTGTGACTAGGATGGTGAAATGGGATTAAATAAAGATATCCTGTGATCTAATAAACTGGTGGAAGACATTCGTCATGCTGAGTGGCCATTACGTGCTCCTGTGTCTGTAAATCTGTAAATCAATTTGTAATCCCCTTAAGTAATAAACACTTACCTTTAAGAGGAGTGGGGGGAGATCTGGTCGTGGTGAGAGTGTAAGCTTCAGAGAAGGGTCCTTCACCTGCTTCATTACATGCCTGAATTCGAATTCTGTAGGATGTTGACTCACTGAGTCTCTGAACTTTATATGTGTGGCATGGTCCTCTGTATAATGTTATATACCTGAAAAATAATTGAGTTATTGAAGTCATCTGCAAAGTTCCATACATTACCCATAAGCGATAAACATTTTGAGCTTTTTCTCTGCCTTTTGGAGAGTAAGATTTGTGATGCTAACCAATCAATTATTACAAGCCTTTTAATTAGAGTTGTGAGAGTAGCGAAATATCCCACAAAGCAAGCTCCAAATCACCGCTGGGCAGGCTTGAAACCACTAAAGGTACAGGCCTGTAAGGAGGTCTCTGCTGTCTTTGTGATTAGTGAAAGGTAGGGGGTATTTTTCAAGAGGAAAAGTATTAAGAGCCATAAACTGCATTAAAATAAGCATATTTAAAACTTTCTCATTTTTGACTTCTCACATAGATAAACATAGATTGTTTCTAATAATGTAGTAATACTAACTGCACTTGATATAGCGTCTTATGATGTCGCTGAGGCATCTTAAACGCTTCGCAGACTATACCAGAAAATGGATTGAGTATGTATTTTGTGGGTGAAATGCAGCAGCCAAAAGCGCACAGCAGTGTCCCACAAATAGCTGTGGATTGAGTGACCAAATTTTAAATAAATTTTGGGAGGGATTATTACCACCGGAAAGTGATCCGCCAAATGACTAACAATTGAGTTCCTTCTAACTGCCATATAAACAGAGGGAGTGTGGAGGAAGGAAACTTGCCTAAGGTTTCGCCCTGCCCTGAAATCAAATCCAGGTCCTCTCGCTTGTGAGGCAAACGTGCTAACCACTACGCTATGGGACGCCACTACTATATAGGTCAATATTGAGCTTAGAAATAAGTTTTATTGAGCAATTACCTAGATACATTTACACTGCCAACTTGGAAACAAATAACCAAAGCCAGGTACCTCCCACTCTTGTCATCCATTTGTAGAACATATTGCATGACATCAGATGCTAAGGCCTTTGCTGTACCCTCTCCCCATTTGAGCTTCAAAGTTTGGTGACTAAAGGCAACGCATTCTAGTCGAGGTGGCTCTGGAGGGAGAGGCTTTGTTTTTGCCTTTATAGAATGGCTAAAAGTACCGGGTCCAATACTGTTTATAGCCTGTATTCGTATTCTGAAAGCGTAAAGAAAAAAATGATTCATGACAAAATCTTGTAGTGCAATTTACTTATAATTAAAATGCTACATTTTTCTCTCTCTCGTATATATATATACACACACATATATTATATAGAATATGTTGATTGCTTATATATATTATATATAAGCAATCAACATATTATTTAATATTCAAAATAATTAATGTACAAAATCTAAGACTAACACATTCAACTGTATAGTGAGATGTTTTAAAATTGGTATTCTTAGCACATAAAACAAATTAGCCCTTCTAGGGCTAATATTTTATCCACGTTACATTAAGTAGTTTTTACCAAACCAGTGCCCACTGGAAAGTCATAATGCCTTCTGATCAAAGCTGGTTTACAAATTTGGAACCAGACCAACTTTAAAAAAAACATGGACTCAAAAACATGCTGTGGCTTGAGGTTTTCAAGCAAAATGTGAAGAGGTTTCTATGATTCGGTTTGTTAACCATGCAATTCCAATCTGAAGCCATTGGCTACTACTTGAAATCTTTGCGTCCAGCATACCTGTATACTGTATCTGGCTGCAGATCCTGTATGATATAGCTGTTGGATTTGTCTACCAATATTGGCACTTTGTCACCATAGTCTATGCTGTAGTTTATTATTTCAGAACCATTATCACGAGGCCCTTCCCAGTGTAGTGCAAGGCAAGTTGATGAAGAGTCAAGTGGAATATTAAGTTGATCCTCATCCACTACTTGCAGAAAAGTTACAGCTGCTGGTACAGATGCTGGAGTCAAGCACAAACTCACATCACTGAACAGACCTGCACCAGCAACATTGACAGCCTGGAAACAGAAATGTGAAGGTTAACAGTGTTAACAAGGTTAACATTTTTTAAATATACATTTTCCTGTAGTACAAATTTGCAAGCAAGATTAGTGATTATGTGCAATATACAACAGGCAAAAACTGTTAAAGGCCTGCTACTTCATTCCCTTAATTTGTTTAAGAAGAGTTGGAGAAATAATGGTCTGAGAAAGAGATAGAACATTTTAAGTTCAGACAAGGGTGATCAATTCAATTACTCTGCAGAACATGAGGGCTCATACTCTGATTTGGCTACAGATCAATCACATACAGAATGTTTAATCAGATACACAAGTGCCAATTTCAAGATTGGATTCATACACTAGTTTCTTTAACTGGTTAAATTAATATCCACTGTAGTATCAAAACACTGTCAGCTTGATTCATTTGGTAGTATTCTAATCTCTCTGTTAAAATGAAGTGGGTTCAACACCAAACTGAGACTCCAGTGCTGTTGAATTGCTGAGATGTAGGAGGTGCCATCCTTTGGCCTAGGAGGGTGCAGTTTTTGTCACTCCATGAAAGTTTTATCCTATCTAAGGGTGAGACATTCTATTTCTTACCAAGAAAGCATTTGAATTTACCTAATAACAAAACACATCACTTTGAAGTGACAACTTACATTTCTATTGTGATTTTCACATAAAAGAATGCCCGAAAGAGCTTCACAGACGGAAATTAATTAGATATGAAACTGATGTTATGTTGGCAAACATGTAGGCAAGTATCTGCATGTTTTAATTTTGACCACCGAGACGCATTTCTGAGTTACCTGCACTCTGGAGAAGTACGTAGTTGCTGGCAAAAGTCCTTTAATTTCATAGCTGAGACCAGGTCCACAATAACAGATTTGCATGCAGCCTTCCACCACTCCCCATTCCAGCCTGTATTCTGTAACATCAGCGCCATTGCCAGCGGGAGTCTGCAGCAATAAAGTAAAATGAGTCCAGTTGGATGCACAATATGGTAAACAAGGAAAAATCTTTAATGTCCGCAGTAACCCATGATATTCTACTATTGGAAGACAGATTTGCCGAATTGTAAAGCATTTTTGGATGTAATCAAATTTACCTGAACCAAATATACTTGGGGGGGATTTCACCTCTATTTATTTTTGTCTTTGTTTTAGTTTCACTATGTTGTATGTATTCTACAGCTCAAAGGGCTCCTATTGTATTCCACTGGATTATAACACCAAAATTACATTTCTAGAGCACCTTTCACATCAGGAGGACGTGAACATTATTATAAACAATAATGTTAATAATAATGTATATAAATCCTTAATTCTGGTCTTATAATACTGTTTCTAAGTAATAACCCTATCCATTCTTACTTTTTTCACTCCCTGTCCCTCGTGAAAAGTTTATACCCAGGGATGCTTAATTGTCAATCCTGACCCAGCTGCAGCCATGTTTTAGTTAGTGCTATGTTATTTGGAGTCCTATTGCTCAGTGGTTACAGCACTCACTTCGCAAGCGAGAGACCTGGGTTCTATTCCCGACAGGGCAAAATGTTGGGCAAGTTTCCTCACTCCACACGCCTGTTTACCTAGCAGTAAGTAAGAACCGGTTGTTAGTCTATTGGTGGATCGCCCAAAAATATACAGTCAATTCACTTTACAGTATATTCTAGAAGACGTGAAAAGCGCTATATCAAATGCAAGGATTATTATTAGGACGTTATGAATTTTTGAAATCAATGCCTGTAAGCTTCCTTTACTCTATGCAGTAACAAACATATATTTAATTTGGATTCACGTGGTATGGCAATTTCGCTTGTTTTCCTGTTGTCATTCCTAACCTGATTTATTTCTGTTTCACTATCTTATCCTGCTTAGCCTCTTTCATGCTTGTACCTCCATATCATAGTAATTAAAGCTTACAGTATCTTCCAAGATGCTCAATCTGCTCTCATGTTTTTATTACATTCATATCCATATTGAATCAGAGTGTGCTGAGAATTAATGTATGGCTGAAAAACTAAATACTTATACTTACAATCCAGCTGACATGCACACAGGTAGCTGATTTACATACAACATCTGGTGGTTTGCATTGATCTGGACATCCTGCTGCAGTACAAATTTCACATTGTTCTGAATAAGGCCCAAACTGAAAGAAAATAATAGATTGTAAGACTCCAATTATTAAAATAAACATACAATACGTATTAAATGCAAGTAGCAAAATACATTTATCGAAGAAAAAAAATCCTATCAACATTGGCTATAACATTTATTCACTGCTGGGTTGAGGTTTGCTGTTTCAACTCTTACCCCTGCTTTGTTTGCAGCCCGTAGTCGGAAACTGTACATCCTTCCTGGAAGCAGGTTATTTACTGTACATTCCATGTCAGGTCCTTGGTATACTTCTTTTGTATCATCCAAACCTCCTGCTGACATTTCTAGGATATAATTTATAATGTGGGAACCACCATTCACCAACGGTGAACCTGATGAATAAAATATATTAAATAAGAAATTCTGGAAACTATAACAACTTGCAAAATTGAACACCTTTCATATGTTATAGTGTGTTGAACAGAGATAGATTAGGAGCCCAAGCAAGGTGGGAGATGTTAGGATAAGAGAAAGATGACTGAAGGCAAATTCAAAGAGAGAAATGTTTAGAAGGGTTTTGAAATCAGAAAGAGTATTAGTCGGAAGGATTTGAGGAAGAGAGTTTCAGAAATAGGGGCATACTGACTGAATATCACATATGCATTGTCAATTACATTGAACTCCGCGTATAGAATTGTTTTGCAAACTTGGAAAAACTCTCACACATTTGCAATGCTAATTGTAGAGTGAGGCAATAAAATAATACAAATGCAAGATTCTCCAATATTAAACAATCTGAAGCAATTACTTCTACCATACTATTTATTGCGAACACCTCCTTTGTTGTCTCGTCTTTCTCTCAATATTTTCTACTTAATTCATCTTTTCTTCACTTTTTTCCCCCCGAATAAAAATCTACACACATCATCCATTTTAGAGGTGGGAGCGACTTCAAAACTTTTCTTCTGATTGACCGAAAAATAGTTGCATTGTATTCTAAAGTTAACTGTGAGCCCAGAATGTAAAGATTTGCAAGGCCACACCATATGTGTAATCAAGCTGATCTAGTATACTTGAAATCTAGCCTTGATGAATTCCAATTGTTGTGTTTATTTTTAGTGCCAGCAGTTTAGCAAGCACGTGGTTTAAGTGCAGAACACTTCTTCCTTCAAATGTTCCTTCTACTTGAAAAAGTTGCAAATTTCTACATATTCAATTCACTCCTACAATTTATCTAACCATTTAATTGAAATTAACTATCCTGTTCTTTCTTTCCACGTGCCAAGAAAGTACTGGAAGCTAATTAAATTTCACTATATTTGGCTTAAACCAGCCCACAAATCTCAAAGCCTTGTTTTATTTTCTAAGATCTTCTGATCACATTACAATATTTGCAAATACTGGCTCAAAAGACAGTAGAGCGGCATTTAAGTTTAAAAGTAGGTATGCTTTAATATTAAAAAAAATCAATCTCGTGCAAGCAAAAAGGCACCCAGTAATACCAGCAACAACAACATCAAAATTACATTTGTATAGCGCTTTTCACATTTGGAGGATGTCCCAAGGTGTTGGACAATCAGTGGTTTGGACCTGAGCTGGGCGGTAGGGATTGGGGAGGGAGAGGAAGGAGAGTGACCAAAGACATGGTCGAAGAGGAGGGTCTTGAAGAAAGCAACAGAGGGGGCGAGGCAGAAGGACTCTGAGATGGGGGCGGAGTGGCTGAAGGTCCGCCTGGCAATGGTGGGGCGGGCAAGGCGGAAGACATGAAGCAGGCTGGAGCCCGCTGAGCACAAGGAGCGGGCAGGTTGGTAGGGAGTTAGGAGATCACAGAGGTAGGGGGGAGCAAGAACATGGAGGGCTTTGAAGGTTGAGGACCAGGATTTTGAACTGTGCAGACAGGTGAGATGGAATACCCCATTTACATAGCAAAAAGCTCAGTGAGGCCATGTGGTGCTGGGTTTCTTGGACAGCCTCAATGGGCTCCCACCCACATGATGGAGCAGGTTTTTTTTTATTACCTGTCCCCCACTATCCGATCTGGCTTTTCCCCATTTACACAGCAGCCACTGACCTGGCTCTGCCCTTTCAAGAGTTCTGGAGGGACATGTTGGGGGCGTTGCTTGTGAAGAAGGGCAGGAGGGCTGGTTGGTTGGAAACTTCCCAACCGGATTTAAACTAAAGCGAGCTGGGTAAGGGGGAGTTGGTGGAAGCAGAAAGCATTACAGGATTCAAGAGGAAAGGAGTATTACATGAGTTTTGTTCATTTTGGTCAGGTGGACAGTCTGTTAATTTGCAATCTTGTACATTCCTATGTTCACAGGGCATATCCAGGAAACAAAACTTTGGCTGTACAACTACATTTCTCGATTTGCTTTGACACATAGAACAAAAGTTATTGTGCAGAGATATCCTAGTAACAATGCATCTCTTACCCCATCTTAAATGTATTTCCCTTGCTCGTAGTTTACCTAGGAGCCGTGGTGGTTGGCAAGGTCCAGGAGGAACTGCTGGAGTCTGTACTGTTAATGATTCAGAGACCTGTGAAGCATGAAGGTTTTGGTCACTGTGTTGTGAAATAAAAACACTTTCTATCTATTATTACGAAGTGTTGGAGCAACTGAAATGTAGCACATATAGTGTCATAAGTAAGGCTGACTGAATTATCCATTACTGGCATTATCAGTCCTTTACACACTCAACAGTTGATTTCTCTCTCTTCCCCACTTCGCAACCTTGAGTTGTTCAGGCTAATTGCAGCACTTCACAATTGTGATCTCTGTCTGACATCAGCTAACCTAGCATAGAACAGGATCCAAACCTGCGATTTTCTGATCAGTAGGGTAGCAACCATCCATTTTATTAGTACGAAAAAGGAAAAACTTATTTTGAGTTGAAGATTATTTAATATCTTAGCATTACCAGACTCTGGCCTCCTTCATTGCTGCAGTATACTCGCAACTGATATGTACAGCCTGGATTAAGATGATCACACACATGTTCTCTGAGAGCTCCATTGTAAACCATGTCCCATTTATCTCCTGAAATGTAACACATTAGAATTAGATCAGCCTAGCTTTCGTTTGCATTCATTTCGATACCATGGACACCGACAGGTTCCTGAACTCTGTGAAACTAGCATTTTGTCACCTCACAATTGATGATTCAATTATGGTTTCTTGGAAGTGATCCAATTATCTAATTAAAACCGGATTTTGTGTTCATTTGGATAGATATCTGGTAAATACTCAATCTCTAAGTCAATGTTGTCTTTATTCCCCCCAACCTCCCTCCACTCCCACCCACCACCCCCTCATGCACTGCACTACATTCTGCTCCATTTAGTGTTTTAGTTAAGGAGTTAGGTGTATGCACTTAAGTTACGAGCTTGCCCTTAGTAACAAAATTCTAGGAGAACTCAGTGTGAATAATCACGGAGATAGTGAAATTTGCAGGGCTATTTGATCTGCAGCAGCTTTTGGGAGGCAATATTTTCTTACTTATTAAAGGAGTAGATCAAACAAGTTAATTTGCCACTGGCCAGATGCCATCCCATCATCAGGAGAATCTCTCACTCAAACAACAGCAGCAGTTGAAGAGTGAATACTTCTCTGGATGTTAGGATTATGGTTGCCAGCTGTTGCACTCCAGAAAAGTGGAAGGAAAACAGTGTTAATGTCGGAGTGAGTCCACAACACTCTGAAGTCTGGCACAAAGAATAATAATAGATTTAGATATTTCACCTGTGCCTTGCACTTTGATTCTGTTTGTTGTGTATTCCCCACCCACAGCAATATGCTTTTACTCTGATGTGCAATATTGCCTAAATGTAACATATCACTGAAAATCCAACATTGGTATTTTTTAATCTTAATTTTTAAAATTGTACAGAATTTTGAAAATTCCTTTAATTTGAAATCTTATTTATCCAGCTCTTAAAACTGTGGTTTCACAAGATCAAAGATATCTAAACAGAGCTGTATGATCAAAAGACACAGAATACAATGGAAAACTGCATAAAGTATAGGAAGTTCAGTGCAGATACAAAATAAGGAGAGGAAAGAGAAGGTGCGAAATGATGCTGGGAGAACATACAAGTAAACATTGTATTGTTATACAAGTATCTAAATATAAGTTTTTTTACACATGTCTTTACAAAGGAGTAAGATAAGGATGTAATAGGATTTGCTGAGACACAACAGCCGTAGGATATATCAATGAGGAAGTATAGACAAAGAGTTGATGGAACTCAAAGTGATCTTACCATTTGTATCATTCGACATCTCAGCAACATACTGTGTAATATCGGATCCTCCATTATCTTTGGGCGGATCTAGNAAAAAAAGTCAATGATTGCAATGCCAAATTGTTTCTCAATTTGAACAAACATTTAGACTTATAAATCTGAATCTACTAAAATAGCATTTGCATTGCTGCATATATTTTAAATATCACTTTACAGTATATTTGACATCAAATCGCCTGAACATAATTTATAGTAAATACCTTACCCCATATGATTTTAAAACTATGAGCGTGAATTTTTCCCTTCACAGAAGGTTTGGTTGGTGCTCCAGGCTTATCTGCACAAGTTGTAAATTCAACACCTTCACTGGGATTACTCTTCCCTTCCAAATTGTAAGCAATTACCTATAAATACAAACACATAGTTCCTTAGGAAAATGATATCAAAATGTCTTGCTTTTCACTAACCACATTAAGGGTTACTATAGCCCAGAAGATTTTTATTTTATTTTTTATATACCCTTTTCCCCTTTTCTTCAAATAAAAATTAAAAGATTTTTTTTAAAAATGTTAAGACTGGACAACATCAGATAGCTGAATTTATATTCAGCTTTGGGTTTCACGTTGTTATAGCCAAGTTACATTTCAGATTCTGTACAGCAGTCAATATATTTCTCTGGTTACCCGAAATCTTAAATAAACTAAATGGTAAATACTTTCTCCAATCACACCTGCAATTCCTCAGGGGATGAAACCGTTGTGTGTACCTGTGGAAATCAGCACACAAAGTATAGGCTTCAGCGAAGCCATTTTTGGATGCCGCTGGAAATCGGATTAAAAAGCAAAGCAGCCATTGAGGCATTCAAATAAGATGAACCCAGGCCAAACACATCATGACACTACTGTTCATCTATTCTTATTTTTGTGCTGAGTCTACTTCCTGGTGACTCAATCAGAGTGCTTGAATTTATATGTACTTCTAAGATTTTTTTCTAATAGCACATAAATATTTCTACTAGAATGACAAACGTTGTCATACAATATAATGTTTCACTATGAATACACATCTACATGGTTGGTATGGTTTTCAACTTATCATGTAGTACTGACAGTTTCTTTAAGTTAACTAAAACTGCACCTGGCATACTTACCCTGAATTTATATGTACTGCTTCTTCTAAGATTTTTTATTGTACATAAAACTTCATCTCCATCATATTTTGGCTTGAACCCATATCCCTAAATCAAGAAATATAAACAAAAAAGTTACAGTAGGTTACCAGAGATCACATCCTCTGTGTAACCTGAAATTTTGTTTCTTAAAATGAGTGATAAATATTTAATGTACTTACTGAGGTTTCATCTTCCATTTCTAAAATATAACCAATACCCTCATCTGAGAGTGTTCCTGAGGGTTTACTCCACTGCACAGATAGCCAGGTTACTCCAGCTTTAATAAGTTGCGGACTTGCTGGAGTTGGAGGAGCGCTACCAGTTGTGTAGAAAATAATTTCTTTGCTGAAACCACTGTTTGGTAATAAAATAGAAAAATAAAACGGATGCTTAGAATATACAAAAAACGACACATTACAGAATATCATATTTAAAAGACTCCATATCTCATTAATTCATGTTTGATAATATAAGAGATCATAAAGCAATAGAAGTATTTTAGAATTTCACATCATAGTGAAAAATCAAACCTTACTATCAACAACAACAAAATTACATTTATAAAGCGCCTTTCCCATCGGGAGGAAGTCCCAAAGCGCTGAACAGTCAGGGGTCGGGACCCGAGCAATGGGGGAGTGGTGTATGAGTGAGGGAAGGCAGAGAGGTGGGAGGGTGACCAAAGGCACGATCGAAGAGAAGGGTCTTGAGACCGGCCTTGAAGGAGGCAAGGGAGGAAGTGAGGCAAAGGGACCGTGGGATGGAGTTCCAGAGTGTGGGGGCAGAGACGCTGAAAGCCCGGCCACGAGTCGGGCGAGGGTGGGACTAACAGAGTCTGGTGTGCGAGAGTACACGAGCTGCAGAGTTTTGGATGATCTGCAGCTTGTGAAGGGAAGAGTTGTAAAAGGCACTATACAAATGTAATCTTGTTGTTGTTGTTGGGAAGGCCGATGAGTGAGTTTCCGTAATCGAGCCTTGATGTGACGAATGCATGGATAAGGGTTTCGGCAGCCTGAGGGTTGAGGCAGTGGCGGAGTCTGGCAATGTTGTGGAGGTAGTGGTAGGCAGTGCCAGTCATGGCGCGGATGTGGGGGAGAAAGGACAGTTCAGGACAAGGACAACACATACTGATCCAGAACAGATACCTTGAGGATTATTGTTAACAAAGCAGCTTCCAAACACTGGATCAGATTAATAAAGGGTCTTGTATAAGTACACATCCAAGTACACATGGATTTAAAATGTTGTCAATAGTGCAGAGAAAATATAATTTTAGTAAAATATTGTTAGGGATTGGAAAATAATAAACTGAGGCAATCAGCATGGATTCATGAAGGACAGATCAGGTTTCATAATTTAATTGAATTCTTTAAAGGAATCAGAGCATAGATGAAAGAAATGCGGTGAATCCTGCATATATGGATGTTAAGAAGGCCTTTGATAAGGTCCCACATAATCGATTAATATCAAATATGAGAGGCACATATATTAAGGGTAAAGTAGTAGACTGAATAGAAGGAAGGCTAAATGAGAGTTCGGAGTTGAGCAAATGGCACTTTAGGGTTTATAAATAGGGGGTTTGTTTGAATATAAAGGTGGGAAGTCATGTTGAAATTGTATAGAATATTGATTTTGGTATTACGTCCAATTTTGGGTGCCTATTACAGATAGGATATCAAAGAGTTACAGTACAGAACAATGCACTACGTCAATATTAGGTAAAAGAGCAGGAAAAAAATGACAAATTACTTTGGAAAACAAAAAGCAATAGCACGGAAAACGTTGGGCTGTGCTGAACATTTCCATATTTTTTTCTGAGGACTATCACTATGTAACAATGGTGCTCACTTTACGATTAGCTGACAATAGTTAAAAAAAAGTTTAAAAAAGCACGTCAAGACTATTTTTCCTCTACAATGGATCATTGTGGAGTCCTGTGGCTCAGTGGTTAGAGCACTTGCTTTGCAAGCAAGACACCTGGGTTCAATTCCAGGCAGGGCGAAACCTTGGGCAAGTTTCCTTACTCCACACGCCTAATAATAATCCCTCCAAAACCCCAAACAATAATAAATTGGTCATTTTCAATCTACGACTGTTTGTGGGACATTGCTGTACGCAATTGGCTGCCGCGTTCGCCCACAAATATACAGTCAATTCACTTTACAGTATATTCTGTGAAGCGCTTTGGGACGTCCTCCCGACGTGAAAAGCGCTATATCAAATGCAAGGATTATTATTATTATTATCATTGGACTATATGAAACTGCTTCACCTAGTGAGTGACAAGCAGTCCTTAAAATTGAACTTGGTCTCACCTGATTGCAAAGCATGACTTGGAACATATTTACAGTTTTATATTTTTATGAACCTCAAGCTACTGTAGCTAGGAGTGTTCTGTGTAAACTTTTGTTAAATTAATAATAAAAGCATTTAATACAGAACGTTGCAGGTAAATCACCATACATTTAATAAATACAAACCATATACTACATTGTTTCTGGAAATATTTGCTGTTGCAATGTTTCAAAATATTCCACACAAGATTTTATTAGCACCTTCTGAAAACTCACCTCTCACCAAGGTCATTTTTGGCTGTTAACCTAAATCTGTATCCCATGGCTGGTGATAATTTGGTAACTCTGAATTGCTTCTGTGGTCCCAAATAACACTGGCAGAAATCATTGCTTCCTTTCCCCTGTGAAATGGATCACATTTAATTAACAAAGTAATATGAAACCAGAAACGTCCAGTCAACGTATCAAACTGAGAAGAAATATAGAAACACAGAATCTACAGAGCAGGAGGAGGCCATTCAGCTCGAGTCTTCATTAAATTAAATATGTTGTTGTTGTTGGCTCACAGAACAAGGAAATCAATTCAATTAGGAGTGCATTCAATACTCCAACAACTCTTTTATTCTTTCAAATTACAAACTTCAAACTCAATCAATCTGGGAGTAAAGTTGCAGTAAAGTTTACTTACCTCATCCCATTCCAGAAGGTAGCTGTTGACTTTGGAACCATTGTCACATGTGGTCTACACGAACAAAAGATGCAATTTTATGGCGTGCCATCCAGCAGCAATTTATTTGTTTTATTATTTTAAAAAAACTTCACTGGTATCAATACAGAAGTAACAGCTACAACACATTTCATAAATATAAATATTTTGGTAAAATTTGTGGTGGTCAATAATTAACATCAGTATGAACTAACACGAGCACTAATGTTCAAACACAGCAAATTGTAACCCCATAGGTTCAGAGCATAAAGAATGTAGGGAAGAGGGTGGAATTACACAGTCAGGCCTTCAGCCTCTCTGCCCCAACCCTTTGGAATTTCATCCCACATTCCCTTCGCTTTGCTCCCTCCCTTGCTTCCTTCAAGGCATGTCTCAAGACCTTCCTCTTCGACAGCACCTTTAGCCACCCTCCTACTCTCCCTGCCCTCCACCTTGATCTCAACCGCCTGCTCGAATCCAAATCCCTGATGTGAAAGGCGCTATACAAATGTAATTGTTTGTTTGTTGTTGTTGATGCAGGTATTTGACTTTCAGATCCATGGTTGATCCTTTTAAATCAGGAATATATAAAAAATGCTATTATTAAATATATATCCCTCCAACATCCCCCTCAGCTTGGTGAAAACCCTGGACTGTTCAGTAGCTTGGGACGTCCTCCCAATGTAAAAGCTTCTATATAAATGTAAATTTGTATTGTATACAAACAAATTTATGTGCCAAGTTATAAAATAAATTCTGCTGAACCAGCAAGGCAAGGAGCATCAGTTTTACAATTTTGCTGATGGAAAATTATCGGTCTAAATCCTACAATTCTTTACAATTCGATACCTAAAAGATTTTCACTTCTAACTTCTAGCCTTAGCATTACAAAAGACTGCAACATTTAAAGAGATGGTTTCAGTTGTTATCTGTAGTAGATAGCAAACACATTCTGTAGTGGTTGCTTGAAAGTTGATGTGCTACACAAGTGCAACTGGTGGAACGATTTTGAAAGAAGATTTAATGAAACCAAGAAGTGGTTCATTGCAAACTATTCTGTATACGTAGTTTTAGACTAGATTGTGATCCATATGGAGTCCTGTAGCTCAGTGGTTAGAGCACTCGCTTTGCAAGCGAGAAACCTGAGTTCAATTCCAGGCAGGTCAGGGCGAAACCTTGGGCAAGTTTCCTTACTCCACACAGAGCCTAATAATAATCCCTCCAAAACCAAAAACAATAATAAATTGGTCATATTCAATCACGACTGTTTGTGGGACATTGTTGTGCGCAATTGGCTGCCGCGTTCGCCCACAAATATACAGTCAATTCACTTTACAGTGTGTTCTGTGAAGCGCTTTGGGACGTCCTCCCGACGTGAAAAGCGCTATATCAAATGCAAGGATTATTATTATTATATGCTGAGATGCAACTGTAACCATTGGAAACTGCATGAATTTCTGCACTAATGCAGGATTTATTGTGAATTGAATTTCCACAATGGGAAGAAACTCATGAACCCAACAATGTTGTGTCACTCAGGCCAACTGATTTAATTTTTCAAAACGGATGGCAATAGTATATGCTGTATTGTATTAGGCACAATATCAGGCCTATGCAGTATTGTAGGCTACAACACAAGCTCAGTTTCATTCCTGGACTTCCTGGAATTCTCAACCCAATTGCAATCTTAAATAACACAAATAAAGATAGCCGATTGTTTAAATTTTTGATTAATTGAGTATTAACATAATTTAATAAAATTCCTGAAGCATAATAAAATGCTTATGGAAAGACAGTTTAACTGTAAAGTGAAAGTATCACCTTCCACTGTAGACTGAGAGAATGTTTTGTCCGGTTCGTTATTCTGGGTGGAGTTGGTGTATCCGGCGCACTGCACAGTGTTGTGAAACTCACAGTCTCTGAGAGATTTCCCTTTACTAAGTTGCACATTGCTTGTACTCTGCACAAACAAGACAAAATATGTCAAATAAGATGATGTAGTAAAGGCAAGTTAACAATACCTACTAATCTTCTAGTAAATACAAAATGGAGTACCGGAGCGTTTTTAAGCAAAAACATTTGTCAAAAATGGCAATGCTCATATAACACTCTGAACACTGTCAATATCAGTTGGATCAATGGTCTCTGGGCCTAAGGTTGTGGCTTGAAGCCACATATCAGGACTTGAGCTTGTAGAGGTTCACACTCCAGAACAGTACTGAGAAAGCACAACATTGTAAGCAGTGATGTCCTTCAGATTAGGCATCAAACTGAAATCCTGTCTACCCATTCAAGCAGACATTAAAGTTCCCCTGACATAGGAACTTTAATGCCTGGCCAATAATCCTCCAGATAAGTTTATCATTCATTCACTTCATTGGAGTTTGTGACTGTTAATTGAGCCAAGCTGACATCTAGGTTATTACTGACCTGGCATGGTAGTCTGTTGCTGGTTTTAGGTCCTTCAAAGTGGTGCTCGTTTCTTTTCCTCTATAAAAAGATAATATGCGCACAGATTTCAGCTATGAAATGACATAAAAGTTACACTATAATTTACATTAAGAGAACACATTTCACACTATTTTGCACCAGTGCATGGCATGGGCAGTTTAAGTTGTACTTGATGCCTCGTGGCAAGGAAGGTTTGAAGAGGATTTGGGTATTTAATGAGAGCAGGGCAGCATGTAGGAAGATGCCTCAAAGCTCTTAAGCAATGATTTCATCGAGCTATGCAGTCAAATACAAAAAACACTGAATGAAAAATTCAAGTTCAAATTAATTCAAATTTTACTTATCTATGAGTTTAAACAGAAATGAATATTGTTAAAAATAAAGTAAAAAAGTTGAAAGGTTTTCAAAATTATGAAGGATTTTCTTTAACATTTCAACAAGTGCTATTAATAAATTAATAGTGACACAATAATGGACTCTGCCCTGAACTCTGCTTTATTGCTGTCCATCAGGTGAGGTGATAATATGATTTTAAAGAGAGCAGGGGAATGCGATTTGATTGATGCGTTCAGAGAGAAAACACCTATTAGAAAATCAAACTTACTTCCATCAAGTTTGGTTATCCAGTTGAGACAACAATTCTAATCCCAATTCCCTGCTCTTTCCTCTACTCGTTTATATTCTTCTGCTAAATTAGTTTATGCATATTCATTTCCAACATAATATAGGTATTTGCCACTACATGTGGAATATTTGCAGATTATGACCAAATGTACAATGAAAATTCACATACATATAGGCAGTTTTGAACTTTCCATCTTTCACATTATTTGAAATCGTAATTTCATAGGTGCAGGTCTTCATTAAATCATCTGTGTCAGCTTCATCACTAACTGTATTTGAAGGAGAAGACCAAGTGAGCACAGCTGTTCTTGTCTGGATGTCGGAAACCTGTGGGAAAAATGGAATACAGTGAAGTAACCAGCTAAGTGCAATTGTTCAGAAGATGCAGATTTATAATCAAAGAAACCCAATTCTAGAAAGTAATGCGCCCTGTGCTATTTTCCCCGTTTCTGCTACAACAAAAGCTTTCAGTGATTTGTAGCATTTAAAAGTTACATTTTTGATCACAGACATAAATTAGATTTAATACTCCAATGTTCAATTCTTAACTACCTTGACAGAGTTAAGAAATTGAGGATTTTTTTTTTGGTATGTGATTCAAGAACTAGAAATAATACAATTATTTTGTGACAAGTTCCGAAAACACAATAAATAATTCATAAATCCTCAACTCAAGACTAAAGTTGATTGGTTCTTATACACTTTAACCTATTTACTCAATTCTTTCAATCTGGATTAATGGCAGCAAAAGTGCTGAAGAATGTTTAGTATAACAGAACCTTATCTTTGTCCTATCTGGCTTTACTTTAATGTGAAGATTCATTCTTGTAAAAGGTAATATATTTTAAGAACCTTTTTTTTAAATCTCACGTTTCAGTAAATTTATATTGTACTTCATTTCAAGGGTTGAGAAATTTTAAGTATTTAGCAAATAATAATAAATTGTCCAGCTATATCAGAATGAAATATGCAATTTTTCAATGACTTTCAAAACCACGACAACTAAAAGTACATCCAAACATTTATTTTCTTGTTTCATAGTGAGGATGGGTTCCAGTTTATTTGAACCCAAACCCACCAACCATGTGATTAAAAAAGAGTTAACAAATGTGTTTTTTTCTTTTCATAACCTCTGTTCTTGCCAGACTGCATGGGCTGCCTGTCCCAGAGAGGATCAATTTCAAGATCTTCACCCTTGTCTTCAAATCCCTCCACTCCTCCGCACCCCCCTACCTCTCTAACCTCCCCTCTCTTCACAGTACCCATTGCCTTCGCTCCACCAGGTCTGGCCTCCTCCTTGTCCCCCGTATCCTCCGCTCCACCATAGGCGGCCGTGCCTTCAGCCACTATGCCCCGAGGCTCTGGAACTTCCTTCCTCACTCCCTTCGTCTTACCCCTCTCTTCTTATTTTCAGGTCTCGGCTGAAGACCTTTCATTCAACCGCGCCTTTGTTTACCTTCCTCCCCCCTCCCCCCTGGCTCGGCCCCGGGATCTGTTTCTGCGAAGCGCTCTGAGACGCCATCCGGCGTGGAGGGAGCTATATCCAAGTTGTTGCAGTTGTTCCCATCTACAAACATTTCATCATAAAAAGTTGCTTACCACAGGTATGCCAACAGCGGAAAGACTTGATTGAAGACCTTGTATGTCTATCCCTTCATCTACGAAAGGAATAAAATCATTCATCACCACCATTATTAATGATACATATCACTCAGTTACATTTATTGAGCTAATTTTCTTGCATTGGATGTTTAGTTAGATGCTCGTAATAGGAAGAGGTCAAAACAATATTTGGGGTTTGCTGCAGACTGTCAAGCCAAAGAAAGGAGAATAACTAGCCACTTTATGATAATGTTTAAAACGTTTGTGAGAAGAAGGTGATACCGATAGGGAACTTCACTCGGCTCACAGAAACTGGGTAAAATAAAGAGGGAAGGACTGTCTGAGCCTCTGATCATAGTATATGCTTGCTTCCTGAGTTTACCAGGGACCTAACAAGGACAGCTCTAACCCTGATTAGTTCTAGTCACTCAGTCTAACTAATTCTATTCTGTGAATAGTCTATTTATGGAGTAAAATAGTTAGAACCATAGAAATTTACGGCACAGAAAAAGGCAATTTGGACCATCGTGTCTGTGTGTCTCTTAGAGCAATCCTTTCAGCCCCATTTACCTGCCCTTTACCCATTCCCCTGAAGTTGACAATAATAAAGAATAATAGGCCTATAATATTGAAACATCTCAAAGCTTTTTACATGCAATTGCTATCAAGTGGTAGTGATTATACATTTGCAGAAAATCTGTTTTTATTCTGCGCATTATGATTCTCAATTTCCACTGAAAATAACACTGACATACATACTGTACACATTTCCACAACCAGGCTACACCAGCAATAAGGTACAGGCAGCAAACTATACTGGTCCGAGTATGACACCATATCAAAACAGTGAGTAGACACAACTATAAAACACATGAACAAAGACACGGTATAGATCATATACAGTTGCCTTATAATTGTTGAAATGCATCAAAGCACTTCACAGAGTTTTCAGTGAAGTGCAGCGTCTATATTTTTAGGCAAACATGGCACAGCAGCTGATTTGCACACAGCAATGTCCTACAAACAGGCAAGAAGTGAATCATTAGTTTTTTTATCTGGGGAATCGCTGGCCAGGGCACCAGGAGAAACTCTATTCTCTTTTTTGAATGGTTCAATGGGGATCTTTAACATCCACGTTAACAGGCAGACAGAATCTTGGTTTTAATGTCTCAGCTGAAAGGTGCACCTCCGACAATGTAGCATTCCCGCAGCATTATATTGGATTGTCATCCTAATAAACTCAAAGCCCCAACATGGAGTTTAAACTCGCACTCTGACTTAGATGTGGGAGTGCTATCAATGGAGCTAGACTGAGACCTGTTGGGTGCATGCGTTATTTATATGTGGCTTTATACAAGCACCCAAATAGTATTTTATGTTTAAATTAGGTGATTTTTAAATAATATTAATTTGTAGTTTAAAATAATTATTGAATGAAGAATACATACAACGCATGCTGCTGAGAAAGAACAAGTAAGCTGCAGGAATAGAGACTGAAGATTTGTAATTTTGGAAATAATAATAATCCTTGCATTTGATTTTTTTTGAAATAAGTAATGGAAGTAAACAAAAAGTGAATGCTAGTACGAAAAATTATGGAAATCCACAGTAGGTCTATCTGCATCAGTGAAGTCAATAAAGTGATTTATATTGTGAGGAAATTTCAATAATGCTTTCATATTTAACTTGTCTAGAGCATGTCACTGTTGGTGTACTCTGTTTACATAGGAAGAACAGAAGACAAGTTAGACATAGAAATTGCTTCTATGGCTTTCCCATTTAAAACATATTTCCATCCCTTATTCTTGCATGTCAAGTATCCTGAACTTTGCAATACTATTTCCACTTGTAGGAAAGTCAGTAACTAAGGACCATAGTTATCAGAATCACAAGAGCTTATTTAAAAATATTTCTCTCAGAGAGTTGTTGGGATGTGGAATGCCTTGTCAAGTACAACAACAACAACAACAACAAGATTCCATTTATAAAGCGCCTTTCACGTCAGGAGGACGTCCCAAGGCGCTGCACAGTTGGATCATGACCCGAGCAGGGGGGAAATGGTCAGGGTGAGGGGAGGGAAGGGAGGGAGCGAGGAGGGGGAAATGGTCAGGGTGAGGGGAGGGATGGGAGGGAGCGAGAAGGGGGAAGAGAGTCGAGAGGGGAGCTGAAGGCTCAGTCAAAGAGAAAGGTTTTGAGACCGGCCTTGAAGGAGGAGAGGGAGGAAGCAAGGCGAAGGCACTGGGGGATAGAGTTCCAGAGCCTGGGGCTGAGAGGCTGAAGGCCCGACCACCAATGGTAGGGCGATTGGGGCGGGGGACGTGGAGCAGACCGGAGCCGGAGGAACGGAGGGTACGGGCAGGTAGGTAGGGGGATAGTAGGTTGGAGAGGTAGGAGGGAGCAAGGCCGTGAATGGCCGTGAAAGTAAGCTGGTAGAGGCAGAATCCTTTGTGGGTTTCATGAGGGAAGCAAACAGTGATATGAAGGATAGAGGCTTGAAAGTGTCTGGAAAAAAGGGATAGAATGAACACTTTGCTCTGAGAGATAGTGCAGACCCGAATGGCCACCTAAATGTCTATGGTGCTGAGCTACTTCTCCACATGCTAGTGGTTTCCAAGTTCCCAGTGAAAGGGTTTGGACTCTGATCCTTGTGAGGGGAACAAAAGAGGATCCAAGTGTGACTAACCAAGACTTTTGTATAGCCCAGGCCCTCCGCTTTTCTGACTTGACCTGACTTCCTTCTCAGAACCATGGCTCACTCCCAATTTGTCCATAACCACTTGTCTCATCTCATCACCTTCAAAGCCATGACTTGTCTCTTTTTTATTTATTGAGAACAGATCAAAGAGCTGATTAATCCATAAATAAATGTAACTGGTACTTTTTACTAACTACAGGATTTGAATCAACTAACAAATCCATATATTTTCACAACAGCTCTGTTTTTAAAGATGATTTGTTCTGCAGTACTATTTTATTCTCAATAAATGATTCCAAGTGAAATACACACAACGGTCATTTGGTGGTGCTACAGTTCTCTTCAATGGAGCTTTTGCATGTACAGTATATGAAATATGTGCATCCGTGCACATATTTTCTATAGACTGTATAATAAAATAGCCTGCAGTTATTTAGTACCCTTCACATGGGATAATGATTCGGAGCACCAAAAACATAATATAAATAAAGGCTGCAAAGGGATACTAATCTACAACCAAACAGGTTTGTTTATAAGGCAAATGATCGATGAACTCTTGGCTTTACTTTGAGAAATGGCCAGCATCCAGCATGCTAACAAAAAGATCAACTTTCACTGCTTTAACTTCTCAACTTCCTGTAGAAAGCACTGCTGACGTCATTTCGAGCAGGATTTGCACTAGCCCTAACCCCTAAATGTGTTCAGAATTAGAATTGGTTTTAACTTATTTCTAGTCTTTAGAAACATCAATTCACTGTCAACAAAACCGGGGAGAGTTTTTATAATCTAAAGGGTGAAACTCTACCCAATGTTAAAATAGGCATCAATATTTTGGGCATCTCTGAACAAGGTGAATACAATGCTGACAACTAATTAACACATTTAATTTCCAAGAGAAATGTGAATCCAAACTGGGGAAGGAAGAGAAAGGTGCAGAGAGAAAAGGAGAGGGTCTAATTGTTGAGTAATTATTGAGCCCACAAATTCCCATTTTTGATTGATACGATAACGAGATTATTATATGGAATAAGAAATGAACATTCAATCCGTTATTCTGTTCACACACTCAGTCACTTCAGGTTATAGAATACAGAAACTTTGTAAAGTTTTCAGACGTTCAATATTATAGGCATCACTGAATATAAGATGTGCAAGAATCATGTTATTTTCTAGCAATATAAAATATTTTAAATTGCTTTCACAAGTTTATTTTGCTCTGTTCCCCCACAGTTACTGAAAGTACAATTATTCTATTATGAACTTCACTACCCACCACGGAGTTCCACTGCACAATAACTCCACTGCCTCTATTATATATAGATATATATATAGAGAGAGAGAGAGGCAGTGGAGTTATTGTGCAGTGGTCCATTATATATAATATATATATAAGGCATATACAACAGAACTGCGGAACCACCTCAAAAAAACAAATGGTGAGATGGCTATTGAGTAGGAATTAAGTGAAAATTAGAGATCCATAATTAAAATGATAGTTCATATACTTCCCTATTTTTTTTTCTGAAATTCATGCTTTCAATTAGTTTCCTCTTGCTTTGCATTATACCTCAGAGTAGACTAAAGAATGTTAAATACAGCCTATTTTAGCAAATGAGAAAAGTAAAAATGGATCAAATAAATGTGGATGCATTTTGAAATATTTCCACCAACCCTGCACTTCCTTATCCTTTATACAGTTTCCCTTATATTTTTACTGTCTGATTCTTTATTCTGTAAAATTTACTTATTCTTTAGGTGTTCACAAAAGAAAAAGAACTAATATTTAACTACCGAAACCTAACTAGTTTCGGAAACTTTAAAAACTGCCGCAAGTATAGATACGTACCAAGCATTTCTGAGTCTATTTGAGAAGTGTCATCCATTTCTTTAACCTTCATAATTTGTCCATTTTCCTGATCATTGGGAGACGTGGAAATACAATTTTGTGGAGAGGATGGTGGGCTGTTCATTTTATCTTTTGGTCCATTAGTTTGCCTGTCTTTCAGTTTTTTCTGTAAGCGCTCATATGCTTTGTTAGTCCTTTCATCCCTGTGGATAAAATTGGACCTCCCAAGAGAATGAGATTCTGCAACGCAACAACAAAACAAAGAGACTATCTACATTTGTAATCGGTCTCAATCACACACTTGTCATAAAAGAATACATTTATAGGCAGCCTCAATGTGATTGCAATAGCAACATATTAATAGTAATCCTTACATTTGATATGGCGCCTTGTCACGTCATTGAGACATTTCAAAGTGATTTACAAAATATACTGTTCTGTAAAGTAAATTGACTGTCTATTTTGTGGGCGAACATATTGGAGCAACAACAATTAAATGTTATGTATACTGCCTTTGGTAAGAAATCCCATAAGTGCTTGACATTGCCAAAACACTGCAGAATGCTCAACTGAATTTTTACCCAATTGTGTTCTGAAGTAATGAAGTAAAGGTTCCTCACAACTTTTTGAATTTTCTACAAAAAATAGTTTGTATGTCAATGTGTACTGCTTTGTGCCTGGCAAACAAAAAAACAAGCAAGTCACTTAGATTTTATTTGCACACCTTCTGCAGCTTATGCATTATAAGAGACGACTGAGAATGTCATTTTTCTCTCTCAACAGGAATAAGTGAGGGCACTGTTTTAATTTTTTTTAAAAGCTACCACCATCTCATGAAAACTCATCTTTTTCATTCCTGAAATAAGAATAATCCTTGTAATTGATATCTTATCATTTCAGCAAGACATCTCAAAGTGCTTGATTTACTGCGAAATGTAGAGACTGTGAACGTGTAGCCAAACATGGCGTCAATTTACGCACAACAATGTCCCACAAACAGCCATGAAGTGAATGACTAATTTTATTTGGAGGAATGCTGGCTAGCTCACTGGGAGAAACTCCCTCCTCCTTTTTGCCTCCTCTCTTCCACCCCCCACCCCACCCAAATAATGCAAGTGAGATCCTTAACGTTCACCTGAACAGGCAGACAGAACCTCAGTTTAATCCAAAGGATGACACCTCCAACAAGACAGCACTCTCCAACACACCTTTGGAGCAACAGCCTAGACTGTGAGCTCAAAGTCCCAATGTAATGCTTGAACCAACAACCTTCTAACTCAAGTGTGATAATCTGAGCCAGACTGACACTTGGCCATATTTCCATATCAAAATAAAGTCCAAATAATGTAGATCAATTTTCCTTCAACACGAGAGGTTGAAATTGATTTCACATTTTAACACAAAAGAGCTCACTGAGCTCCATCTCCATTTTGTTGTCACTTTTCAAATCCAAAGCTATTATTTACATAAATGATCTGGACTTGGGTATAGCAAGCACCATTTCCAAGTTTGCGGACGACACAAAGTTAGGTAGGGTGGTAAACAGTGAGAAGGATAGTAGCCAACTGCAGGAAGACATAGACAGAATGGTAAAATGGGCAGACACATGGCAGATGAAGTTCAATGTAGAGAAATGCGAGGTCATGCATTTTGGTAGAAAGAATGAGGGGAGGCAATATAGGCTGGTAATACAATCTTAAGGGGGGTAAAAGAACAGAGAGATCTGAGGGTTAAGGTAAATGAATCCTTGAAGGTGGCAGAACAGGTAGATAAGGCTGTAAAAAGAGTATATGGGATACTAGGCTTTATAAATAGGGGCATAGAGTACAAGAGTCAGGAGGTTATGATTAACCTATAAAACACTGGTTAGGCCTCAGTTAGAATACTATAGGAAGGATGTTAAGGCATTGGAAAGGGTGCAGAGGAGATTTACGCGGACGGTACCAGGAGTGAGGGACCTTGATTATGAGGAAAGGCTCGAGAGGCTGGGATTATTCTCATTGGAGCAGAGAAGGTTACGAGGAGACCTAAGAGGGCTTCAAAATCATGAGGGGATTTGATAGGTTAGAAAGGGAAAAACTGTTTCCACTGGTGGTTGTGTCGGTGACTCGAGGTCACAGATTCAAAATAGTCTCTAAAAGAAGCAGAGGGGAGATGAGAAGAAATTTTTTCACGCAGCGAGTTGTTCAAATCTGGAACGCATTGCCTGAAAGGGTGGTCGAGGCCGATTCGATAACTACTTTTAAAAACACGGTGGACGGGTATTTGAGGAGCACGGGTTTGCAGGGTTATGGGGAAAGGGCTGGGGAGTGGGATTGACATTAATTGCTCTTTTCAAAGAGCCGGCACAGATTCGATGGGCCGAATGGCCTCTTTTTGTGCTGTACAATTCTATGATTCTATGATTTCTACAATGCCATTAAATGTGTGATCCTATAAAAGTAAAAACAACTTTACTGGCAAATTCCACCTCACTGTTTCTATGTTTCTTAAGTACAGTAGCTAAGCAGCCTTTTAATTAACAACTACAATAACACTTATACAGTGCCCTTCACGCAGGACAGCATCCCGGCAAATAAGTCCCATATGCTTACCTTGATCAGCATACCCATGTGGAGAATGATGCTGTGGAACATACTGCATTGCAATGTCCCCTGTTCCTGCAGGATACATTTGATGCTGTGGATGCGGAAGGACGGGTGGGTGAAGAAATGCAGGCATGTAAGGATGAGGATGCATTGGTGGGTGGCTGCCAGGGTGAAATTCTGGCTGCTGAGGTAACACCACTACTCTTCGTACACCATTTTCTTCAATAACCTGTAGAATTGAAGCAGAATTATAATTGTGCAGAACAGATGTGTCTAACTTAGGTGCTGTACTGCTATGTTTATTTCCTGGGTTATATCAGAGACTCAGATCTACTAGTTGACCCTATTATAACACACCTACTGTTATGAAGCAGCTGGATTCACAACCACAGCTGCTGGCTTTCCTATGAAGGAGGTGACAGCAGGAGAGGATGCTGGAATAGAATCAATCACCCTAACCCCAATTTATACTTTTATTGTTAATCTTAGAAAGTTCACACCGCACAAGGATGCCATTTGCCAAATAAATGGGGCACCATTTTTTATGTGAATCATCACAAAACATAAATAAGTTAAAACAATTAAAATTATTTGTAGTTTTTAAATATGTGTGAATAATAATCCTTGCTTTAATATTGCGCTTTATCATGTCTTTGAGACGTCTCAAAACACTTCACAGACTATACTGTAAAATTAATTGACTGAATTTTGTGGGTGAAACCTGGCAGCCAATTACGCACAGCTGTGTCCCACAAACAGTCGTGGATTGAGTGACCATATTATTATTATTATTATTTTTTGGAGGGATTATTACCCCTAGCAAGCGATCTGCCAATCGACTAACAATCGTGTTCCTACTTACTGCTAGGTAAACAGAAGCTTGTGGAGTAAGGAAACAATTTGTTTCAATTTGCAGAACATTGGACAACGACTTATGTAGTTATATTCAATACCAATTATAGTAGTACAACTACAATTAAACTAGATGGCAGAATATGTTATGAAACAAATTTTGAATAAAGGACCCATTTATGACGAAAGGTTTCAGTTACCTGTGATACGTATCCAGGAGGCACATAAATAGGAGGCACTGAACCATTTGGTGACACCATTGGAACCTGAGCAGGACCTGGAAGTAAAACACATTAACTATAAAAATCACACGATTGGACAGAAATGCAGGTTCAAAAAAGACTCTTTAGGATTAATCTGATCTCACAGGACTTTAAGACATTGTAAGTGAAAGATAAACAACAATTACAAAATACTTCAATAACCTAAGAGGGAGAGAGTTTCTTTTTTCTTTACTCTTTGACAGTTTCTATTTGTAATGTGTACACAACTGTCTGTTCTGCAGTATTGTGAATCAATTTAATACCATTGTTAGCCATTGCCATTGCTAATTTGCTACTTTCTTAATGTAATAATATATTAATGATCCTTGCATTTGATATGGCACTTTTCACGCCTTCTAATAATAATAATAATAATAATCCTTGCATTTGATATAGCGCTTTTCACGTCGAGAGGACGTCCCAAAGCGCTTCACAGAACATACTGTAAAGTGAATTGACTGTATATTTGTGGGCGAACGCTGCAGCCAATTGCGCACAGCAATGTCCCACAAACAGTCGTAGATTGAATTGACCAATTTATAATTTTTTTTAGGGATTATTATTAGCCGTGTGGAGTAAGGAAACTTGCCCAAGGTTTCGCCCTGTCGGGAATTGAACCCAGGTCTCTCACTTGCGAGGCAAGTGCTCTAACCACTGAGCTACAGGACTCCAGTATAATTTATAATTTTACTTTATAATTTATAAAATGTATAATTTACAATACATTGTAAATATATGGTAAATTCGACTGTGCTTACAACCACACCCCCCTCCCGGAGTCAGGCTCCGCCACTGTTAAGCGCTCTGAGATGCTACCTTGCGTGGAGGGTGCCATATAAGTGCAAGCTGTTGTTGTTGAATGGCTTGGTACGACCTTCACTTTCCAACTGCATTGTTCAGCTGGGAAATTTCTGACCACTGACCAGTCACCCTAAACGTCTAGGGTATGGAGCTGACCCTGTAATATGGGATGGGTGACTGTCAGATTGGAGACATCGGTGTGACTTGTGCAATAAGTGATCGTGCCAAGGTACTACACCATGCAAGGGGTATCACTGACCGTGAAGCCTGGAACCGATTCTGTGTGAGGGGTTGACAGCACAGACTTGACAACTGACAATGTAGCTAAGGACTTTCTTGCTCTTGCAATAAGCAACTGGTGTGGAGTAAATCTGAGATGCAGCATTCGACTTGGACCTTGAGAACATTAAGGTGACTGACACATCACAAGCTGTCTTGTAAAGGTCCTCCCACCACACTGAAGGCAGAAGTCCGCCAGTTAGCTTGAGGAAACTCTGAGGCTTGGGGCGACGACTGCTGGAAAGCCTTATCTGGAATCCAAGTTGTGAACACACATCCGTAAAACCGGTGCTTGGAATCCACTTTGGTTTGCACAGAGGTAAGCAGCTGCTGCTCAATCATGCTTCCCGTGGAACCATCCCTCAATGGGAAGAGATGTGTCGTAGTTGTGGGCAGGAAAATGGTGGCAGTGCTCTCACACATTTCATGCTTGGCTGTGATGCCCACCAGGAAGTGAAAAATAATCTTTGCATTTGATATAGCGCCTTATCACGTCATTGAGACGTCTCAAACCTCTTCACAGTTGGGTCTCCTTAGAGCTGAACTGGCTCTAGGGTGACATGTTTGTCAACAGAATGTCATAATCGAACAAACCCTTTGTGGTAGTCTCAGTAGTCGAGGGCACTGCTGATGACACACCAGCAAGCCAGGCTCATCAGCGGGACTTGGAAAGGCAGTCACAGGGAGCAGGAGTTGTGCCCTCTGAGCTCCTCTTAATAACCCTGTAAGGCAAAGCCCTAACTGACAGGGTGGTCCGAGCTGGACAAACAACTGGAAAGCTGTGCAGTTTTAGACGGTTGGACTCCAGCAGTACCCCAACCGCAGACTCTGGGGAATCCTAAGCCTTGAGAACCTGCACCTTATACTCTCCGGAATTAGGAATGTGTCCCCTCCAGGAAGAGAGTGTTCATTCCCTTCCAATAAATATCTGGAATTTCCATGTTTCGGTCATTTGCATGCAACTGTCAGTTTGGTTTGGATACTCGTAAGCATGGTGATGGGGTTCCGCATGTGCTAGACCGGATGGCCTAAAAAACTCAGCTTGGAAGACTAAGCAGCAACCTGTTTGTACTTAATAATATAATAATATTAATCCTTGCATTTGATATAGCACTTTTCACGTCGGGAGGACATCCCAAAGCGCTTCACAGAACACACTGTAAAGTGAATTGACTGTATATCTGTGGGCGAACGCGGCAGCCAATTGCGCACAGCAATGTCCCACAAACAGTCGTAGATTGAAAATGACCAATTTATTATTGTTTTTGGAGGGATTATTATTAGGCGTGTGGAGTAAGGAAACTTGCCCAAGATTTCACCTGGAATTGAACTCGGGTCTCTCACTTGCAAAGCGAGTGCTCTAACCACTGAGATACAGGACTCTACTTTTCAGGCAATGTTGCCCATGCACATGCCATCTCCCAGCATATACACGAGCGGGAGAGGTTTAATATTCTGGGTGAAAATCCCCAATGATTTCCTCGCTATACCTACGGAAAAGTGGATAGATTGAAAACCCTTGTTCCACTTCTCTTGTACAGAATGCTGAGGAACCAATTGTGGCTTAATGACTTCTACATGAAATAAATACACAAGTTTTTTTTTACTTTCTGCCCCAGTACAGTATTCTAAATTAAAGCAAAAATAGAAATAAACTACAAATTGAAGTATTTTGCTATTAAATAACTGAATCAGCTATTGTCTTCTTTCCCAAACAGGGTAACATGCCAGTGATTAAGTTACATCACGTCTATTAACAATTTACAGCTGACTGCTACATCCTGCTCCGTGGTATTTTTTTTCTGTTTGACCTACGAACATTGATAAGCAAAACACAGTTCTGGTACACAAACTCACAGAATACAGAAAGCCCTCAGGGCTAAGTGAGTCATTGCTTTTTCTCTAAAACCGGCCTGCTTGCTCCTGTGGCACAATGTGTATGTTACTTGTAAAGCACAACAAAGCACATTTAGGTGGTTCTTCTGCATCCTGTTGCTTTTTGCTTTTGTATTTTTTAAAAAAAATCTATGCCTTAACATGAAAGTAACAAGCTTTAAGGGTCTTACCATCCATTTTATGGCATTCCACTGCACATAAAATCCAGGAAATGCAGCTTTTACTAAGCAGTCTTACACTGTAGGTGAAAGGCTCCCAGTGTGGTGACTTGGCCACAGTTTATTGGACTAAAGGGTGTGTGTTCAATTGCAGTCAACAATCTCATATGGTGTCACATGATTACTGTGGCAGCATCAGCACAATTACTGCTCCTCTCAGTTACCAAAATATTTGCGGTGTATTGCAGAAGTAAAACCTGATAATCAGGCTGCAACTCTATTTTTTTCTTTAAAGTGAGCAACCCCACAGCATATTGGTTGGCCAAGGGGTAACTAGTTCAGTGTAGGAGTGAGAGGTTTAATGTCACTTCTGGAACCAGAACTACGACCCTGAATGGTGTGTTGTAGTTTCCCAGGTGTCATGGTAACAACAACAACTTACATTTATATTATGCACTTCACACGGGCAGTGTCTCAGAGTGCTTAACTGTGGCGGAGCTTGAAGCCAAGCTGAAGAGCGGGGGAGGTGCCTGTAGGCACGGTCGAATAGTAAGATCTTCAGGTATGATCTGAAGATGCAGAAGGAGGAGGCAAGGGGGAGGGATTGAGGAAGAGAGTTCCATAGTTTCGAGGAATAGTGTCTGAAAGCTCACCCTTTGATGGTGGAGCAGAGGGGTCAAAGGATGTGACGGAGGCTGGAGCGTGGAAAGCTAAAAGGGCAAGGAGGAGGCAGGGGATGGAAAAGTGGAAAATGAACAGGGGGTGAGGGAGAGAAAAGAGATAGTGTTGCTCGGATCTGAGAGCAGCAACCAAAACACACAGAGGATGGTGAGCTAATTACATCCTCAATACAAGCCACAAACTAATAGTCAAGGTGATATTAATGCATGCTTTTTTTTTGCAAAAAGCAAAAAAAAGCTTCTATTTATTGTGTGGAACTGTCTGCATAATCCCTGCAGATAGTACAGGTCAAGCACACTGCTATACTTAGCATTAGTCTAATGTGAAAAGCTATGATTCATTCTTTCCTTGTTTTTCCCAGGAGGAAATGTTCTTCAGAATTTACTGCAGTACATTAGGTTAACCATGTGTCTGCAGCTGTACACCCACTCTTTGACATCACACAAGCAATGATACGCATCATTGACGCAAGCACTGACAGGATCAAAAACAAAGGCCACAGACATCTGAATAATAGAGTACACAACTGACGTATACAGTACACCCTCTAACAAAGGCAGCTTCCACATTAAATCAATATCATACATAGTCCCACCAGAACCTTACCTTTTATAAAATCTTATCCGACCTTTGGATGAGATGTTAAACTAAGGTACTTTCTCCCTGTTTGAGTGAATGCTAAAGATCCCATGGCACTATTTGAAAAGAGAAGGGAGTTTCTCCTGGTGTACTGACCCCTAGATAAAATTAGTCATTCACTTCATGGCTGTCTGCGGGACAACTGTGTGTGCAAATTGACTGCGGCATTTACCTACAAATACACAGTAATAATAATAATAATCCTTGCATTTGGTATAGCGCTTTTCACGTCGGGAGGACGTCCCAAAGCGCTTCACAGAACACACTGTAAAGTGAATTGACTGTATATTTGTGGGCGAACGCGGCAGCCAATTGCGCACAGCAATGTCCCACAAACAGTCGTAGATTGAAAATGACAGTCACTACAACTACATATCTCGACAGTCACTACAACTACATATCTCGACAACTGGATAAGGCACTATTACAAATGCAAAGATTACCACTATATTGTCAAATATTTGCACAAGTTTTCTGTATAATTAAAATGTATTTGGTTAAGAGGCTTAAAATCACATAGGTATGGAAATTTATGTGTGTCCGCTATGGAGTATGCATTC